CGGGATATTGCTGCATGTGTCTTGCATGACACTGCAGCTGCAGCAAGCAGATTTGAAGCATACCGAAAGACTAATGCAAATTAGACCCGCTGCATAACGGCTTCAGCAACTGTGAAACCTGTGATCTAAACACAGGTATCTGCTACGCTGACTTTATCTGCGTTAGGATCCCCTGTTTTGGCGTGCAGATACTGGAACTGAACAGAAAGCAAGAGAGAAAGCATGGCAGAGAGACATGAAAGAGAGTCTCTCTCCTAGATGCTGAGCCCTTTAAGAAAGAAGGGGGAAGGTAAGCTCGAGCCCTGAGATTTTAAGCTGGCTGTGTTGAGGCTGAAGAGAGGGCTATGGTAGCGCTTTCAATTTCTCCTTCCTCCGGCACAAATGCTTCTGGGTGGGCAGTGAGGAGGAGGAGGAGGATGGAGGCCTGCACGGACAGATCTTGGAGGCAGCGGGAGCGGGGAGAGGTTAGGGCTTCAGAAGAAGCGTTTGCCAGCACAGGGGCTGAGAGCGGATAGTGCTTGCTGTGTACGAGGAAGTCCTGTTTTCCTGGAGCTTGTAGCGTGAGGGCCAGCTCTGAGGCAGAGCAAAGGGCAGGGTAAATCAGGAGAACAGTGCCCTGGAGCGATCAGCGCGAGCTGCGCGCTGTTGCTTAATGGCCCCATTGCCGAGGGAAACCTCAGTGGCCCTGATATTCAGGGAGGCAGTATTCTCTCTGCTTTCAACTCGGGCTTCCCCATATGTTATTTGTGCTGGGAATACTGTTCCTTCTTTACTGCCTCCAGAGTTTTTTTCCCGTTTCCTTTTCTCCTTCCCACCTGCCCCAGCAGCCTTCTCCTCCCTGCCTCGCTGTGCCAGTGCCGTACAGCTGCAGCTCTCGCCAGCTAGCCACAGCTGATGGAGGCAAGATATACCAAGCAGCTTCACTTTTGAAGGGGACGTGAATTGCATGTTGGTTTTTTTTTTTTTTTTTTTTTCTCCCAGGGCCATGTGAGGTCTCTGGTGAAGAGGTGGGTTAAAGGAATTGCTGTTTCCCCATCAGCCCCGTGTCCCCAAATACCCTAAATACGTGCTGTTGTTTGGTGCAGGCCTGGCTCTTAGCAAGTAGCTGTCGTGCTCTGATACATGCTACTGTCACAGAGCCTCAGTGGCCTCGAAATCCCTATCTAGCAGCAACTTTTGGAGCAAGGGTTGACCACACCTGCATTCAGCTTGGCCAGGGGGATGATGGGATTGCTTTTGCATAATTTAGCAGTCTCTTGAATTATTTATAGTGCAGTTGTGCTCTGGAACAGAGTCTTCTCGCTTCCCTCGAGCGCTGGGGGGGAGGGAAGGGGAGTTTGTCAGGCATCCAGAGTCTATCACTTAGTGATGAGGAAGTGCTGTGGGTTTCCTTTCTGCCCGTGTTTGTTCTCATGTGCCTCTGTGCTGCTGAACTGCCCTGAAAATCCAGTTCTGGTTTCCGCATCACTCAGGTGTTATGGTACTGTGGAACATCTCAGTGGCTTGAGGCTGTACAAGAGGTTCCTGAGTTTGGAGCCTTGTATTTGCAGTAAAGAGATGGTGTCAACTGGAGACAGTGAATCTGGTGCTTGGATTTGGTCCCTGACTTAATTACAGTGCTGTGCTATGGATCTGAGGCAGACATCATTGGGACAGCTCTCTAAAATATACAGGTACTTGACAGCATTTTTTTCTTTTGAAGTCCCATCTTGTCCTGCCAAATTGTTTTTTAGCTTTGGCATGGCATGGTCCATTGGACTTTACGAGAGATCATCAGGACCTGAAGACTTGCAAGATCAGCTGGTTGAGCATCAAACTGTGCAGCTGAAATTCCCAGAATTACTCAGTGATTAAACCCTGAAGAGCAAGCAGTTGAGGGCAGAGGGAGTCTGGTGCAGTTTTTTACAGGCTCTTGCAGCAGAGGAGCGTTGTGAAGATGAGCTGGGCAGGCTGAGCGCTCACCCCAGCAACATCAAAATGACCGTGGCTTCCCCCTCTGCATTGCGTGTCCTTCTCATTCACCATGTTTTCATGGTGTGCTTACACATTAGTTTTGCCTTCCTCCTCTCCTTCCTTTCCGACCTGGATGTGGCAGCTGACTTCTCAGAGTTCAATATAAATGTTTGTGTTACTGAAGACCTAAAAGGGAAGGGAAAAGGCTGAATGTGGCGAGGGAAAGGAACTTGGCCTGTAATCAAGTGATTGTGGCAGTAAACTGCTCTGTCTACTGTACTGTTGAGCAGAAATGCTCAGCTTCCCCATTTTTATCTGCACAGTGTCAGTTTGTGGCTTTTGCATTTGGGGAAGAGTTGGCCAGACAATCACAGATGTCCCTTGGACAAGCTGTGCTGTCCTACCTGACCCTGGCCTGGTTCTCTGCTTCTTTAGCCTGAAACAAAACCCAGTCTTTCATCGAATGGTTTTACCTCTTGTCAGGGATGTCGGCAGCTGGCTAAATGCAAAATTCTTCCTCATCCTTCTCAAGAAATAAGGCCATCTAAGGGAATAATGTGAAGACAAATGGTCCCAAAACCTGTGTGATGTTCAGGATGACATTTGATTTCACTGATGATGACTAGCTATCTCCTTTTCCCATAGACTTGCTCCAAGTTCTTTCCGGTTGGTTTAATCTGGAGATCAGGGTACTGCTTTGCTTAGTGAAAGGGAATGTTTGTACAGAAGAAGTAAACATATTGTTGAGACCCAGGCCTGCTGCAGTGCCTGTAAACAAGATCCAGCCGTCTGTGGGAGGCAGAAGAGAGATTTATGTGACCCTGAGTTAAGTGCATTAGGAGGCTTTTGATTTCATTCTGGGAAACTGCCCCTTTTCGTGGCACCATATGCCTGTTACCGGCATAGAGCCATTACTGAAGATTTGATTCTTGTGGATTTAATCCGAGGGGCTGCGATGCTGCAATCAGAAGGATTACATAAGCAGGGGGTTGTCTCTGCAAGCCAGAGCCTGAAGTGCTCTGCAGAGCCCCCGAGCCAGTGCCCTTTGTCCACCCCAGAGGTTGGAGTCCAGGCTGATTCACTTCTGCCTTGGGCCAAGGCATTGAAAAGCTCTCTGCCTATCAGCGCTTTATTTCCGAAAATAATAACAAAGTGAAGTGGCAGCAGGGGATCTGGGCAGCACTGTGTCGGGGTCTTGCCTAAGTCTTGAAAGAGGAAATGAAGAATAAAGGCAGAAGAGACAAATAAATAAGGGTCTGTTCTTGGTCCAAGAAAAATTCCCATGGGTTCATGTAACATTCTCGGGAAGACGCGACACTCCCAGGGCTGGAGTCAGTTTTTGAGAAATAAAAGGAAAAGGGAAAGAGGCAAGAGAACAAGGGGGGGTGGTAGGTCAGGGATGGGGAGGAGAGAAGGAGGGAGAGACACCCTAGAGAAACCTCTCAGCATGGAGTCAGGTTTCTCTGGCTGTTCCCAGTGAAGAGGGGTTAATGCTCTTTGCATGGGATTGGCTGGTCACCAGACATTCAGAGAAGAGGGGGATCGGGGGGCTGCCAAGCGGGACCCCTGTGGCCTGAAAGAAGGGGAGGAGGGGAAGGAAGAGGCCGGGAATGCTCTTCCAAACAGTAATAGATCGGCTACTGTGGGAAAGTGAGCACACTGCCAAACCCCAAGTGGTTGGTGATGGATGGGGGAGGAAGGAGGGCGGGGATGGAGGGCCAGCTCTTCTCCGTGGCTGCTAGGATCTTGCTGCTGTTCCATGCCCTCTCTTTATTTATTGTCTTCTTGGGGTTTAATTACTCCCCTTCTCGGTCTGTCTTGGAGAGCTTTTATCCCGGGGATGCACAAACAACTGCTACCCGCTTCAAAAATAGCTGGAGGCAACGTGGTTTCTGCCCGTCTCTGCACTCTACCCATCACCATGGCATCGAGTGCTGCTTGCTTCCTGCCTTCCTTCTTTAACTGCCTCGCTCTGGGCCCACGGGGCACCCACCTCACCTTCCTCTGGGCTGTTCAACCTGCATCTCACTGTTGCTCGGGCTGTTCCATGGTCCCCAGAAACTCTCCTGCTTTCCTTTGCGCAGGGTTTATGTGCATGGTCTGGCATGTGCTCTTCGCCTACGGGCCCTCAACTCTGGGGGTAAGCTTGACTGCTCATCTTGGTGTTGTGCTCAGGGTTTGTGACTTGTACTCCCCTTGCTTGGCCTATGTGGACTGCCTGCCAGGATCTGCTTTGAAAGCAGTCACCCTGCTGCTGCCTCTTCCAGATCCCTACTTGAGATGTGATCCTTCCGTGATGCTGCTGGGAGGAGTTAGCAAGCTCATGGTAGTTGAACGGGGGCTTCACTGGTGCTTTGGTTAGATGAACAACTCTTTTATAAAAAGTCCTGTAAATTTGAGTGTCTGAGGATGTGTCTACATGATACCACAGTTTTGGTGAGAAGTGGACTGGTGGAATAACTTAGAAAGTTTCTTCTGGTCAGCTGCTTGTTCCCATGCCTAGGCACTTCTCTTGAAGTTTATTTTTAGCTCAGCTAGATCTGCCGCTGATTTGGCTTTACAGAGCAGACTTTCATACAATTGACAACTTGAATTCATACAACCGACAACTGAGGGGTGGTGAGCTGTGAAGGTGGTGAGTGAGGGGAGGGAACCTATGAGACAGCAACCTGTGTTACCACATGACTCACTTGAGGTCTCTGAAAGCATGATTTTCTTTTATCCTCGTACAAAATGGTTTTGTCCTGTCCCTCTCTGCAAGACACCAAGACTCGCCGGGAGTTCTTGCATACTACTTTGATTACCCCGTGGCCTGTCTGAGGACATAAGTTGCTTTTTTGTGTAGGTTTGTCCCTTTTCTGTTTCATATTCCTCATTTCATGATGGAGCACTCCTTCCCTGTAAGATACCAAAAGTCAAGAAGCAAAAGAACTAGCCAGCTCCATTTTGCACTGCTGTAATTGCTGCACTTGAAGCAGTGAGCAGCAGCAGTACTGTAGTTTGGCTGGGAGAAAGGCCTTGCATCCTTGGGGGGGTGTGTGTGTGTGTACTAGAGTCCAATGAGCAATGCCTCAGCTCACCCCCTGATGTCCTGAGAGACCCAGTCTTGGAGCCAAGTGGTGATGCAATCTCCAGGGCCATCCCAGCAGTCTTCGTGGAACCAGATGTTTTGAGGAGGCAGCAAGCAGGGTTGAGGAAGAGTCCTTCCAGGATATCAGGCACAAGTGAAGGAGAGGTTAGAAGTGCTGCTTCTCCTTTAGCAGAAAAAGCACTTAGACTGGTGATGCTAAGAAATGAAAACTGGCTTCTGAGAGTGTCTGAAGGATCAGAGTGTGCTGAGGTATCTCTGGAACCATGGAAAGACCTATGGTGAGACTGGCTTTAGCTGGAGAGAGGAGATTACTTACAAGGGATCCCACTATGGCTGAAAGATACTGAGAAGAATATTTCATCGTTTCCAATGAAGTTGGAAATCCAGCTTGAAGTTTTCTTTAGCATGCAGTACTGTACTCTTGTGATGTCCAAGTATTTCTTGGCTAAAATTAAATTGGTGTCTCATAGGCCCTTACTGGATTTCAGTAGAGTTTTTTAGTCTTCTCTGAGCAGATCTTCTTTTAAACCGGGGGCTGGGGATTTATATAATTATGCTGCTATTAGTATTATGGTAGTTACAGTAAGAACAATCTGTTCGAGAGGAGGGTTTTATAATGGACTCTGAAGGTGTTTGGATGCTGGTCTATTCTGCTGACTTCTGAAAGATCAGTCTTGAGCCAAAATCTTGTCAACAAAGACCACTTTATCTACAGGTCCCGTGTGCTCTGTATGGAGGGTTAAGAACTGCTTTGTCCCAGAGTGTACAGCTATCTCTATGTGGCTGGAGATGTGGCATCTAAAATAAGTAAGGCTTAGCCCACCAAAGAGCAGGACAAGACACGTGAGAACAGTTGAAGCAGTGAAAGCCCATGGAAAGTGTGGAGTCCAAAGGTTACTGTGCTTCCAGGAGTTGAAGGAGGTGAGCAGCCACAGTACTTCAAAACCTGGAGGCTTTGTACTGTGTCCATCTTAATTTCTGTATGCAGCAGATTTTAGCTACTGTCACGGAAGCACTTTGGTTCCTACAAGAGTGCATAGAAGACACCTGTTTTCTTTTTGACTACAGATGCTACTGGTCAGCTGAGGCCTAGCAAGACCTTGCACACAGTCTGGAGGCTTGTGGTTGATCTGATGTACATCATGTGTCTGCCTTCACCAAGAAGGGGAAGGCAATGCCTTTGTTTCTCAGCTGTGCTCTTACCCTTCCCTGGCCAGCCTCACCTTAGCCTTGTGTAGATTCACCCTTCAGCTGTCCGGAGCTTTTTTTCTGCATCCAGTTTTCTTCCTGGCTTGATGACACCCATTAATGGTGTGTGAATGGCAGCTCTGGAAGTCAAATGGATGCTGTGGTGGCACCCTGTTGAGAGTGGTCACCTTATATCTCTGCTTACATCCCTGTTGGAAGGGAGGGAAGATGCTTAGGACGGAGCCTCACTCTCCCTTAGCCTGACCTTACTTACTGGATGGCTAGCTCCAGCTGGTTGTGCTGGCAGCAGCTCATTTGGCACCTTGTGGTCAGTTGTCTCAAATCTGCAAAGGAAACGCATAGCATGAGGTATTGCTGTTTTGCATTAGCGCTGTGGGCAGCAGCTCTTGATGCAAGGTCATGGAAGAATATCGTATTCTATCCTTGAAACATGAACGGAAGCAGATATGGACCTTCTTGCATTCAAACCACCTTGTACTGTGACTCTGCCAGAAATTCCTGCTGACATCATCCTAGCTTGCAGTCCCTGAAAACACCATGGCATCCTTCACGTGAGAGAAGTGCTGAGCCCTAGCTACAGTCTGGTACATCCTGCTTCTCTCCACTTTCCCTGCTATCCAGCTTTGTAGATAATCTTCTCTTCTTATACTTAAGCAAAGCACAGTCCTGCTGTCCCTGAGCTAGTCACACTTTAGCTGTAGACAAATAGTAGGTTTTATAGTTTCTCCTTACTACTTTGGGTGTTTAAAGGACAAAAGTAATGAGGTTTTAGAGTGTTTTGAGGTATTATGACCCCAATGCATGTTGTGATTCCTGTGCCCTGTGGATGGCAGGTAGACCTAGTACTTCAAAAGTGTGGAGCCTGTTCGTTTGTGTCTAAGCTGGAGCAGACAGAGAGTTAGGGCCTCAGTGTGGAGTGGGGGATGGAAGTCATGCTGAGTTTTAATCTGCCATGTGAAAGCGATTCTAATTTGAATTGTTGTTTTGTGTTGAAGTGTCTGAGTGATGGGCAAATATGTTACTGCATGGGTGTTATGGGATAACTTTAGACAGAGGAGATGAGCTTCTCTGTATCGGGAAAAACAGAAGCTTCTACTCTGACTTGTCTTTCACAGCAGCTTTTCTCCTGTAACCATGGGAGAGGTCTAGGGAGTCAGCAGTCCTGGGCCCTAACAAGATGGAGTGTGGGGTATCATGCATTCAGTGGCCTGTTGCATGGCCTCTTGCCAGTGTCCTCCAGGAGAGAACATTAGGACTGGTGAACTGCCAGCTCTTAGTGGTACATATCTTTTTCTCTGGCTCCTTGAAAAATCAGGATATGATTTCAGGGTGGTATAAATCAACTGGTCACTTGATATAATGGCAAAGTAAAACGGTAACAGGTGCCTGAGGATAACTCATGCATACCACTTCTAGCTTTCCTCTTTCACTGAAAGCCCTTCCTCTGCATGGTAGAGGCATAACTTCAAGCAAGAAAATATCAAAGGGATCCCTTACAAAAAGAAGCTTTCAGCCTGTCTTGCTGAGACTGAACGTTGCTGAAGCGGTTTATAACTGCGTGTTCCCTAAAGAGCTTTGTCTTAATGGAGCTGACTGGCCATACTCCTGGCTTTTTCTTTTACTTGAGCATTAAAGCTCTTCTTACTGTTGTTTTTAACCTGACAGCAACTTGATCACTCTCCCTGAGATCAAGTTGGCTTTTTTTTTTTCCCCCCCCTCCTCACTCAAAATTGTCAGAAGGGAAATATCTCTTCTTGCTGTTTTCTGTGTTCCTGGTAACTGATGGCTGCTTTGTGACAGAGCGGCTGGACTCTTTTATGACAAGCTGAGATGTCTCCCTGACTGGTACCTCCTTTCTCATTTCCGCCACACGTACGTGTACTGGACGGAGAAGGTGGGTAATAACATCTGCCTCCCCTGCTGGCCTTTGTCTCCAGCTAGCTACCACTCAAAGACACATCTGTCACTGCAGCGCTGATCAGAGGATATGGGAAGGGATATGTGACTGATGGTTTTTAGCATCTCAGCCCACCCAAGGGTGCACGAGCTCTTGCCACTCCCCAGCGGAGGAATCCCTGGCATGTGAGGATGGAGGTGGGTTCTCAGAGACGAGGTTTTGAAGAGGACGCAGCTTGCTGCTTTGCTTCCCTCCTTGTAGGAGGGAATACGAAATGGGTTCGTGTTCCTACTCCCTGACAAAGGCAGCGCGGCAGTGAAAATTGCCTCCTGGGACATGTCAGCAGCGAAACAGCAGAGGGTACTGCAGGGCCAGCTGGCTTTGGCAGAGCTGCAGGGGAGGGGAGGGCTGTGCACGCCAGCCCGGTAACAGGGAGGCAGCGCAGCCCTGCATGGGCAGAGTTTTGCCAGTCGGTGAAGAGCTGCAGAGCCGTGTCCCGAGCCTGACAGGTACTGATGTATGCAAATGTCAAGTGGGAAAAATATGCTTTGCTTCCTAAAACCACGTGTCCTGCTATGTTGACATGGCATACCATATCCCAGATAATGAAGCAGTTTGTTGAATGTCGACAGTTACAACCTTTTGTCTGGGAATTTACTGTGGCATGAGGAGCATCACAGCCATCTGGGAAGAGGATGGAGGTGTGCCTTGTGTGACTCCTTCAGCACCTGCCCTCTGTCCTGGGCTGCCTGTGCATTTGTGTTCTGCAGGAAATGGGGTGAAACCAGCGTTACCTGGCAGCCATTGGGATTGCCTTACTGGAGCAAGCCAGCTGTTCATCTCACCCAGGTTTTGGTATCCGAGAGAGTGACCTGATGTCTGGAGGTAATGCCTTGGAGAAAATGCAGGACACCTGACTGGAGAAAGTTGTACTAATTTACTAGCGAGGGACATTTTCTCCTGACGGCCAGTCACTGCTAATTTAGTGTTTTCAAGCTTCCTTGTGCCTTTCCCTTCCCCACACTTCAAGACAGAGCAAAAACTGGTGACACGCAAGGAAAAGGCACTGGATACTCCTCTACCTTGCAGGTGATCTCGCTACTCCACCAAGCCATTAACAGAGCCTTAAGGAAAAAAGAAAAATTAATATCCTGGACACAATGAGATGCTCTTGGGGGTTTCTACAGCCCCTTGTTTTGACCCCATGAAGAAAGCTGGACAGCAAGCCCCAAGATGGTCCTTTATGGTTTTGAACAGGAGAAGATCCAGGCCCTTCGTGGCTGGGCGACCGCAGAGATGACCTCCCACCAGCTGGTCGCTGGGGTCAGGCTGTGGAGCCATGACAGGTAGGTGCAGGAGGTGAGGGTCTGCCTTGGCATGGCCCCCTGAGGAGAGCTGCCACTTCTTTCTTCCCAGCCTGACTGACAAGATGACCTCCTTGGGGTGCACAAAGCCAGAACTCTGCACCTTCGCTGACCTGTCTTATGTCAAAGTATACCAAAAACTGTAATAAACATTAACATATAGGATCAAACTATCTCTCTTTTTCTTTTTTTTTTTTCCCTTCTTTTTATTTTTTTCCTTCCCATGGGAATGCTGTAACTTTTCCAAGAGCTTCAAGCTCGCAGTGCCCCCCTTCAGAGCTTGACATGGGGGTCCTGACCCTGCTGCACAAGCATGGGGGATGGCATCGGTGGATGGTGGTTCTCACTAACTGCAAAGGGTCCAAAAATGCTTGTTGCTGAGCTGTAAGGTATAACTGCAGACAACCCCTTTACCAAAGTCCGTATCGGAGCCATCTGCAGAGAGCCAGATATGTTTTCCTTTGGGCAGTTGCCATCTGTCTAAATGCTTTATGGCTTTTCACTTCAGTATTAAATTCTCTCCAGGTTAATCAGTAAACACGCTTTGCTGTATTTTATTTAATACCCTCTGAGGTGGTGGGAGCAGGCTGGGTGCTTCTTCCTTCTGCTCCCACACTGGGACACATCGGCTGTGAGGTGCCCTGGAATGGGGGAGCAGGACAGCCCCTGCGTGGGGCTGGTGGCATGGGACGTGGGACAGCCACCCCTTGCCCCAGAGGAGGGAGGACCGCCTCCTGCGAAGGCGTTGCCAGCACCACTGCACACCGGGCGGAGGGTTTATAAGTGATGGCATGGGGTGTGTGGTGCCTCTCGGGAACTTTGGCCCTGGAAGGGGGGGGGGGACGGTGCCAAGGTGAAGAGCTGCCATGGGGGAGTGTGGTGTGGGAGGGGGCACAGCGGTGCACGTTGGATCTGTGGGGCTCGGAGGGGTCCTCTGCCTCTTCGCCTGCCACTGCACAGAAGGTTTTATGATCCGGGAAGGAGAGGACAGCTTCTGTGTTGCAAAGGGCTCTTGGGTGACCTTGTTCCCCTGACCACCTTTGCCTCAACTTTCCCTTCCCTAAACAGCAGAAGGTGAGTTCCTTTTCTCCTTTTCCTTGGCAAAGCATTGCATGAGATTAGTTTTTCTTTCCTTCCTTTTTTTTTTTTTTTTTTTTTTGTCCTTTTTATGTATTGTAGTCTTCAATCACTTCTCTGCCTGACAGCACCTCTGTGCTCCCTGCCTGGGCTGGAGGAGGGGATGTGGTGTAAGGAGAGGATGAAGGCAATATTTCATGTTGTTTGGAGGGAAGGGCTCCACACAGCTGGCCTGACATGGATCCATCGTGTTGGCACAGTATTACCAGTGGAGTCAGCTAGGCATTTATTTTAGCCACCTTGATCCAGATCCAAAGAAACCTCAACAACTGGTCTACGGAAAGCAAAAGCAAAGGGCAGCATTTGGAGATACAGTGAACTTGAGAAGGATGGGAGAAGAGTAAAAGTAACAGAAACTTTTCTTTTTTTTTTTTCCCCCTGTTCTCCCATGTGAACTTGGGTAGCATTTCCTAGGAACAAGGGTGGTTTTTAGGGCGTGTGTTGAGCAAACACTGAAAAGATCTGGGGAGCGTAGGTGTGTTCCTGGCTCTGGCAGCCTGGCTAATGATCTCAGTCCTTTAAAACTGCCTCTCTTACACCGGTCACGTTTCAACCGTGTACCCCCTACTCTGTCTCATCCCTCCTGCCCTCTTCGTCTTCCCCCAGCCCTCTGGCGATGTAGGGCCCGAGGAAGCCTGGGTTCATTTTGTTTCCATCAATGAATAGGGATAAATCTCTCAAGTGCGGTGAGTTCCTGTTACTCTGGATTTCCTGTCTTCCTACCCTGTCGCCTGTGACTTTCTTGTCCTTGTGAGTGCATAGGACTGATTGATCTAGAAGAGGTTCAGCTTGGTGTAACTCAGTCGAGGCAAAAGACCCACTGAAGATGGCAGGGGGTGGGGGAAGTAGTTCTTGGATTCAAGTCTCAAAAGATGCATGCTGGATTTGAGCCAGGTTTCTGCCACCCCAACCTGTCTTTCTACCAGTGATAAGCTTTTTGCACCTCAGTAACTATTGAATGTGACTTTCCTTTTCATGGCTTTTCCACAGGATGAAGATGAGACGCCATAAGCTCTTTCTGACTCTCTGCATGGCTGGTCTCTGCCTCATCTCCTTCTTGCACTTCCTCAAGGCCCTTTCCTATGTCACCTTCCCCCGGGAGCTGGCTTCGCTTAGTCCCAACCTTGTCTCCAGCTTCTTCTGGAACAATGCCCCTGTCACACCTCAGGTCAGCCCTGAGCCAGGGGGTGCAGAGTTCCTCCGCACACCCTTGTATTCCCACTCCCCCTTGCTCCAGCCCCTGCCTCCCAGCAGAGCCAGCGAAGAGCTGCACAAAGTTGAGTTCGTGCTGCCGGAAGACACAACAGAGTATTTTGTCCGTACCAAAGCCGGCGGCGTTTGCTTTAAACCAGGCACCAAGGTGTTGGAGAAGCCACCCGCGGGAGGGCGGGCGGAGGAGCGGGCGGATGGCGCGGCCTCGGGGCGGCCAGCTCGCAAGCCGCTGAGTGCCAGCGGGACCAAGCGACGCAAGTGGGTGGAGTGCGTGTGCTTGCCGGGCTGGCACGGCCCCAGCTGCGGGGTCCCCACGGTGGTCCAGTACTCCAACCTGCCCACCAAGGACCGCCTGGTGCCGCGGGAGATCCCCCGGCGGGTCATCAACGCCATCAACGTCAACCATGAGTTTGACCTGCTGGACGTCCGTTTCCACGAGCTGGGAGACGTGGTGGACGCCTTCGTGGTGTGCGAGTCGAACTTCACAGCCTATGGAGAGCCACGGCCCCTCAAGTTCCGCGAGATGCTCCTCAATGGCTCCTTCGACTACATCCGTCACAAGCTGCTCTACGTCTTCCTGGACCACTTCCCCCCCGGCGGCCGCCAGGATGGCTGGATTGCTGACGATTACCTGCGCACCTTTCTCACCCGAGATGGCATCTCTCGCCTCCGCAACTTGCGCCCGGATGACGTCTTCATCATCGATGACGCTGATGAGATCCCGGCCCGCGACGGCGTGCTCTTCCTCAAGCTCTACGATGGTTGGACGGAGCCCTTCGCCTTTCACATGCGCAAGTCGCTCTACGGCTTCTTCTGGAAGCAACCAGGCACCTTGGAGGTGGTCTCAGGCTGCACCATGGGGATGCTTCAGGCTGTCTATGCTACTGATGGGATCCGTCTGCGGCGCCGTGAGTACTACACCATGCCTGGCTTTCGGCAGTACGAGAACAGCACAGGACACATCCTGGTGCAGTGGTCACTGGGCAGTCCCCTCCACTTTGCTGGCTGGCACTGCTCCTGGTGTTTCACCCCAGAGGGGATCTACTTCAAACTGGTGTCGGCCCAGAACGGGGACTTCCCCCGCTGGGGTGACTATGAGGATAAACGAGACCTCAATTATATCCGGGAGCTGATCCGGACTGGTGGCTGGTTTGATGGTACTACGCAGGAGTATCCCCCTGCCGACCCCAAAGAGCAGATGTACGCTCCCAAGTACCTGCTCAAGAACTACCAGCGGTTCCGCTACTTGTTGGAGAACCCCTACCGAAAAGCGGAGGGTGCTGGGTGAAGGCCACCAGGGCTTGCGTGGGAAATCAGAGCTTCACAACAAAGGGAAAAAGTCGGGTGTTTTCTTCTGCTCCTTTTTTTGTTTTTTTTTTGTTCTGGGTGGGGTGTGCCATTTCTCTGGGGTCTCTGTCCTCTCTCCCTTCCTTCTCTTCTTCCCTTCATCCCCGGGTGACCCTGGGACACAAATTCCTCAGTTGTGTGATGGGCGGGAGGAGGAGAGATATTGGCGACCTACTGTGGCAGGAGCATAAAGACATTCCTGCATCTCCCGGACCTCTCCTGCTGGCTGGACAGAATCTCTGCAGCCAGCTGGCAGGTTTTCCCCTGGGGGAGGCTGGGAGGGTCCCATGGGGAGAGGGCAGCTGTTCCTGTCCACCCTCGTCCTTTGTGGATCGGAGCAAGCACAGATGTGAGCCTGGGCTGTTCAGTGAACGTGTGAGTCAGCAGGCACAAACTGATGCGAGTGGTCATGTGTGCAGATGTGTGTCACAGGCATTTTTTGGATGAGTGAATGTGCGAAAGCGTCTCAGTATGCGTTTATTTTTTTGTATACCTCTCTATTCAAAGAGTATTTTGGGGAAGGGAAATCCTTTGCTTCCAAGGTGTTCTCCCCAAGATGCAGCCTCCTCCCGCAGGCTTAAGGCATCTGTCCTGGGCTCTGTCTTTGCCTGATGCTCTACCAGACCCGGAGCAGGCAGATGGGAAGCAGAGGAGAAAGATGATTTTTTTTTTTTTTAATTTTATTTTCTTTAAACTCCTTTTTCACCCCTACCCCCGCAACACTGCACTGGCTTGGCCCACAGAAGCTGAAACATCTTCCCTGCAGTATATGCTTCTGTTGGGGCTGGGATAAGCTGCAGGGGACTTAATCAGATGGTGGGAGTATATGTTTACAAGTGCATGGTTTCCTATGTGCATGAGTGCTAACATGCATGGTTTTGGTATGCACGTGGGCGTTCGTTACCAGTACTGGGGGGGAAGGGGACATATTTGGGTTTGGGTGTGTGTATTTTCAGGAAATGGTGGGATCCAGAAGCTGTGATCTCTGTCTTGGCATGGATGACTTCTCGGGAAATTCATAGGAGAGGGGCAGGGAGAGCATTTGTTCTGCATAGCAGTGCTACACAAGTGGGACTGTTGGGTGCCTCTCCAGCTGCCTCTCGTAACTCTGTGGGCTGTGCTTGTTGCAGGGTTGCTGCTTATGTGTGCTGGCTATTCCTTCTTGCCGTGGGGTAAAAAGGAGAGAAGGGCAAAGCTCTGAGTCAGCAACGGGTGTTGTGGGGAAACACAAAGCCTGTCAAAGCACAGGATCCAGCTGTCTGCTCTTAAGGTGTGAGGGAGCTCATGGAGAAACGGGCCATGGGCAGACTTCCCCTGGGGTCAAGAGACTGTTTTGGGACAATCATGCAATCCGGAGAACGTGTGCAGCCCACGCATGCAGCCTGGGCCATGCAGACAAGACCGTGCAGAGGAGAAGGGATCTAGGAGGACGCTAGCTGCAGCTGATGGGGCCAGTGTCTGCTCGGAGTTTGCCAGTGATGGGTAGTTGGGATCTGGCTGGTCGTTGTACTGGATTGGTTCAGCTCACTGAGGAGGTAGATCCACGTCTCCACCCTTCCCAACCTAAGAGATGGCTTGATGGGGATGCCTGGAGCCTGGGCTGTAGCGGGCAGAGGGTGAAAAACATGAGGAACTTCCCCTGTTAGCCTTGCGGTGGAAAGACTGGCTCGTGTTCCAAGCGAAGAAGTGAGGATCATATAGAGGAGGAGGAAAATGCTGTCACAAGGAAGAGTGACCCTGACATCAGGCCAGCTGTGCTGAAGCAGGAAGGTTTCCATTGCCATTAACTCCATCAAAGCTCCATATTCCTGTGTTGCCCAGCCCACTCCCACCCTTGTGCCTCATTCCCATCTCTGCTTCTCTCTCTTTTTCCCTCCTATTCCCCTCTCTAGAGAATTGAAAAACATCAACAAAAATAACTCGATTGCCTAATAAGACTGAGGCTGGAACAGAATGAAGATGAATTTCTTTTTCTGGTCAAACTGAGATGGAGTTAATCCTAGCTTCTTCCACATCTCATGTGCCATAATACCTGCTTAGAAGAACCGAAGGACCCTCTTTTGCATGCTGTTTTTATTCGTTTTTAAAATCACCGTTCTCACTTCTGTCTTCCCCACAGGTAGAAAAGCCCCTTTGGGAACTGAGTGTGGGGAGAAACTTTGGTAGGCAGAATGGTCTTCCCTCAAAGGGAAGCTGTGGCTCTTCTAAGTCCAGACTTCTTGACACAGCAGGAGGGAGGCTTGTCACAGTCACGGGGTCCTTGTGCCAAGCAGCTGTGTGGAGGTCTTGAGCACAGAGGGATTCTAGAGAAATGGGGACCCAGCTGAGAAAGGAGGAGCCTGTGTTGAGTAAGATGAGAGCAGCAGCACTGAGGCTGCAGCACAAGGGGAACATGTTTTCCCCAGTGGCAGCTGTAGAAGAGTAGGTGTGTTACCTCATGTGATTTGGTAGCAGAAAAATATGGAAGGAAGAAGCTATTTCTTATTTTTACTTTTGGAAGGGAATCCGAGATCTACTCTCAGACCTTTTGCTCTGCCTTATCTCAGTAACAACACAAGCCCAGTGCCAGGCCTTCCTCAAGACAGGAGAGAAAAAGAAATCAGTCTTTGCATGGGTGCTTCGGCAGCACCAGAACCCTGTGAAGCTAAAGTGCATGCATGTTGGGGCTGTACCATGTTATCTTCTACAGTGGGAGCAGCCTCTCCCCTGATAGCAGCCCTTCCCATGCACGGGCATCCTTGGGGATTTTTAGTGCACTGCAAGTCGCATTTTCATCACTGAGGTATGGCCCTTGTCTCTTGAGAGTTTCAGATGAGCTCACAGCTGCAATATCTGGATCTCCTATTCCTGAAGCACAGCTTGTTGCCTTTTCTCCCCTCTCCTCCATTATTTACTCCATTTTCCAGCTCTCCCTCCCTTGGGCAGGAGGAGAAAGTCCTGCTGGCATAGCAGCACTGGGGCTCTTTCGCAGGACTCTGGCCCTATCCTCCTCCTGGACTTACTCACTTCCTTATTCTTAGGAAATTAAATTTAAAACAGGCTTCTGTTGTGGTGGGAGGAAGGGAATTTACAGATAAAATGCATTCTTTTTTGTTTCTCTTTCAAGAATCATTTAAACATTATTTGATTTAAGGCCAAACCAGTCAATGTTTCTGTCTGATTTGTCTGGCTAACCCTGTGTTTATTATCCTTAGAGAGTGAGAGCGCTTGTCGTTAAAAATCTTCCTTCTTGTCCCTTGAGGGGGTGTGGACTAGCAAGCTGACTTTTGCACAGTGATTTCCCAAGGTGGTGGCTTGGCCTCTGTCCAGCCTTGCCTGTACTGTTGTACCAGGACCTCTGTGGCCAGTGGAGAGAGGGGACAGCCACCATCCCAGACAACCTCCCCAAGAGAGAACCCAAAAGCATGGAGGGGTGTGGGGTGGTCAGAGAGGCAAAGGAAGAGGCAGGTTTGTGTCAGATCCTGATTTCCCAATGCTGAACTCTGAGGCGAGCGATGAGGCTCCTTGATCTTGTCTGAAACAGGTCCTGAGGTTTGAGAAGGGAAGGACTGAAAAACACCGTCCTGCCCCTGGGCTGGGACTGGGATCAGACCACCACAGCCCAGTGTTGGTTGTCGTAGTCACGAGCAGCGAAGCCACGAGCCCGCTGCTTCTCTGGGAGCAAATCCCTCCGGTGGAGGGAAGGAAAGCATCGCCACCCTTTCCCTTCAGCCCTCTTCAGCTCTGCTTTTTCTTCCCCAAAACCTTTTCACCTTCCAATTGGTTGGTGTAAAGGAGGGCCAGGTAGTAGGTGGAGCAGTGTGTGGCATCCGCAAGCCCTGCTTTTCTCCTGTCTGCCCATCTCTGGTCTTGCCTTTCTTTGTGCTTCCCACCTAAAAGGATTGTGTGTTCATGCATGGCTTTGGCCTGGGGAACTCATCTTCCTCCTTTGCCCCATGTGAAGGAAAGGATACGGGCTTTGAATCTGCAGCCAGTGAACTTGCTAAAGCAGAGAGAACAGGGCAGGTCAGCTGTCTTTGCCGCTCCGGAGGACCGCGGGTAATGCTGTACCCAAGTGATGGACAGAAAAGATGGGGTGGTTTTGTGCCTGTGTGGTTGGTATGAAGGATGACACGCTCAAGTCCAATCTCGCTGTTGCTTCCTCCGATTCCTGCGTCCTGCTGAGGAGTTTGCTGTCGTGCAGCTCGGGCCAGCCTGCTCTTCATGTGTCTGTGACAGGTAAATGAGGGGACCCTGTGGCCTCCAGGCAGTGTACGAGTCAGGATGGAGGGAGAGTGTCATTGCAAAATGGGTATTTGTTCCCTTCCACCCCTCCCTTGGTGGATCCTTGTGGGATGGTAGTGTCTTTTCCCCTCCCAAACGTCCCCCAGGCTCTCCCTGTCTCTAGGCTCCTGCCAGCAATCTCCGTGGCTGCTATGCCTCTGCACTGTGAAGAAATATGTCCAGGGTCACTCCTGGTCCCATTAGTGAACACTGGTGGTGAAGAGGGAAGGGATGGCTTGTCCGGGCTTCACTGACCTCAGACCTTGGTGAGAAAGGAGGGGAGCGAGTGGGAGAATGGATCCTGAATCCTTCCATCGTTGTGTTCTCCCCCTCCCCCCGGCCCCGAAAAACCTCCCTTCTGATTTCTGAGACATTGGACAAACTTGCTCTTATTATGGAAAGAGAGGGGGAGCTGGAGGTAAGGGGGTGGCAGGCAGGGGCTTGGATCCAGCACCGAGAAAGGAGAGCTGTTTCTAATGCAATACACTGACATTTAAAGCTTTGGGGACTACAGATAATGGATTAAGAAGGGATCTGAAATACTCTGAGACTAAGAATTCAAACCACTGTTTTTTTCCTTCCTGTGTGGATGATGATGCAGTATCATCCTGGAGGTGGTCCAGCAGCACTTCCGAGCCTGGGGTCCACCTGGACCTACTGGTGGTGTTGCCCCTGGGCTGATCCCAGAATACCCTGCTTTGGCAAAAGAATGCGTGGACTTGCCTAAAATAAAAGAGGGAAAAAAAAAAAAAAAAAAAGAGAGAAAATAAGAGCGTCTGCAAAGCTCCTTTCCACTCTGTAATTTATAAACAGCAAGTAATAATGAACTTTTTGTAAGGATAAATCAAGTGTACATTCTGAAATCATTTTCTCTGTAAATGGTTGGATTTCATTTCACCCTTAAAGGGATGCTTAAAAGGATGAGATAATAATAAAAATAAAAAAAATTTACAAAGTATGAAAGGAAACCACGGTGTACGTGTGTGTCAGCTTTTATTTCTGATCACTTGGCAGAGGGGTCACTGGAAAATGGAGTGAGGGAGGTTGCTTCCCACCTTGGCTGGACCTTGTTCCTGAGAAGAGAGATTGAGGGGGAGCCCAGCTGGTTTGGGGAATGATTCCTGATTTCGTAGGCCTAGGTCAGACCTAATCTTCTTCACGTAGGGTGAGTATGAGCTCGTAAAGGCCCATGGAGTGGGCAATGATGGCTCTGGGAAGAGCGGGTGGGTGTGAGAACCAGCACCACTGCTCATGAAATGGTCCCTTGTCACCATCTTCCTTCCCTTGGATGCATCCGCTTTTTCAAGTAAAGCTGTGGCAAGCCTGGAGCCCCACATGAAATCTCCCCACTGCAGAAATGTCTCTCTTTTGGCTGACTTTCAGCATGGTGCATGAGAGAACATGACCTCCTTGTTTTAGCTTATTTCTAAACCCATCTAATGTAATTTTGGCTGTTCCCATTACTTAATATCAAAGCCTGATCCTGTTCCGAATCCTCCTAAGCATCTGGCCTCAGCAGTGCCTTTGGCAAGAGCCTTTCACAGGCTTATGTGCCATCTACAGCTATTTCACTTTTAACTTTTTAAGCATCTTGCACTTCAGGTTCATTCCTGGTCCCATTTAGAGATACTGACTGTAAGCATCATAGGTTAGTGTCCTTATAATCGTTAGATCCAGCATGTTCCCTCTTCTTTCTTCCCCATCAGTCTAACATTTTAAATTCTTCTCTTGTAGAAGCATCTCCATCAAACTAGAGACTTCTGTTGTGCATTAGTGCCTCTCTGCAGCTTCTGTCTCTGGAACAGTGGGCCTGGAATAAACATACCACACAAAACTAACAATTAGAATTTTCTATTAATAATTTTTAGCCTTCTTAGTGATAGCTGTATTTTTGTGCCTGAATAGGGGATAATCTAAACGTAGGTGATTGCCAGAATTCCTCAACTTTCAATTTTTCAAGAGGAGAAGGTAAGTATATAAGCTTACGCCAATGGCAATTTACCAAGACAGTTTAAGAAATGAGAGTTGACTAGGTCAAAGGTTCTCTTGTTATTTTTCTTGCCTCCAACATGAAATCTTTTACTGACATTTATATTATTTTAAGAAGTAACATAAATGGCATTTCTTCAGTTTCTTGGGCGGTTTTAAAAGAAGGCATTGCCAGAACCCAGGACCTTTTTCTCTGGAAAGCACACGCTTCTGCTGCGGGAGCTGGAAGTGCCTCTGTGAGCGAGGGGTTGACTTTTCCACCAGCCAGCCTGCGGTAGAGACCCTCCTTTGCAGGAGCAGTGCTGACGGTCAGCCCAGTGCGGGGGGCACGTGGCTCTACTACGAGCCTTGTACAGCATCTCTCAGAGGGTCCTTCGAGACATCAGAAGGGGTCTTGGTACGTGCAGCATGCGTTCTGGATATGGAGCCTTAAGCCCCATATTGGACCAGGAGCATGCAGGCCAAGAAAACTCTGTGTTTTGCAGAATTTCTGTACCCCAACAGGTCTTATAGGGGAAGATGCACCATGGAGGGGCTCTGGCATAACCTGCCTGGAAATAAGCTGTTTCTCCCGCTGTGTCAGAGATGTGCTGTGCTCATCGTGGCCGCTGTGCAACGCTGCTGGGTGGGGACCAGGGCTGTGGCAGACCCTCCACCTCTGGCTGGTGGAGGGGCTGGCTGCGGCTGGTTACTGACCAATGCCTGCAGCAGGCTTGCAGTTCAGGGGATGGACATGTTTCCAAATTACCAGGGAGCTTGGAAGCAAAGTGGCCTCAATAGAACCCTACAGCACCTTTCAGAAAGCTGCAAAGGGTATACCAAGGGCCTGGGTGTTTTTGGTGCTCAGATACATTTGTTCCCTGTGTGAGGGCACAGCTTAATACGCTGTTGAGGGGGGACGGTTGATTTTTAATTATTAGTCCAATTTTTTTTTTTTTTTTTTTTCTAAAATCTCACTGCTTTAGAGCCTCAGCTGGGGAAGCAGTGAGGCTTCAGCTGGCTGGCAGGCAACCCGTGGAGCAGGCAGGGAGTCACCCCAGCTCTGGAGAGCATCACCAGCAAACGGCTTCGTGCTCACGTGCCCCCAGCTGCGGGTGCCGGCTGCCCTGCTTTCCAGAGCATCACCACGGAGAGGATTTGGCTGCAGCCGTGGCAGAAAGGAGGCATATTCTTGCTCCTGGCAGTGGTTTCTGTGGCTCACAGGCACGCTCGTACCCCAGCCGCATCAAACCCTCACCTGGGAGTAAGCTTTGCAGGGCTTTGCTCGGTCGCTTGCAGAACAGCCTCGGAGGAGCGACGCAAAACTGTCTCACCCAGAGAAAGGGCTCCAGGTCGCTGAAGTGAGAGGCTGACAATAAGGGATGTAACCCACCGGTGCTTGGGAGGGGAGCCTGGCTCGGGGCCAGGCTGCTGCAGGCTTTGCCTTCGTAGCTGCAGAGGGACAAGCGCACCAGCAAAAGGGTAAAGGATGAGCCCACTTCAGCTGATGTTTGGGAAGTTGCTGTAAGCATCTCTGAGAACCCTGAACACAAACACCTACTTGGAACTAAGGAAAATTTGGCAATCCTGACATTTCCAGTGTTTCTGGGTGTTCTTTTTTTTTTTTTTTTTTTTTTTAACACAAAGTGAGAAAATAGTCCTTACCATCTTTTGAAATACATTATAGCTATATAAGAATACAAATCTTTCAAGACCATATCTCTCCTCACCCTGACAAATGAAATACAAAATAAAACTCCACTGTTTTACTCATGTTTCTTGTGCCTTATGGCTTGAACAGTGGATCCTCTTGGCTGAAGTCCATCCCAGTAACAATTTAATTTGGGAACAACACTTCACCTTTCTAAAAATAAGGAAAAGTGAGAAGAAGAGCAACTAAGCTGTGCTGAATACAGATCTAAAATGACTTCTCCAGGATCTCATATTAAAGAAAATATGTTACCCAGAGAATGTATAAAATTAAATAATAGAAGCCTGCCTCTATGCAGCAAACTCTTTCCTGGCATTTTAGCCCTGTCTGGACCTTTTCCAAAGAGAGAGAACAAATCATCAGGTTTTTTTTTTTTTCCCCTCAGACACTTACTAAGAACCAGGCACACACACAAAAATAAAAGAATGTAGAAAACATCTACCCACTTCTGTTTGGTTCCCAGTATTTTTAAAGCATTTGACTCAAACTGTTACCCAGAAGTGAATGTCAAACTACTGCAAAACCAAAACCAGACAGATTTCCCCAAATGGGACAGAAACAAGTCTATCTAAGGACCTGTGACTTAATGGGACAAGATGTGCAATAAGTGCCTACACCTAGGAAAAGAAGAGAAGCAGCAGGATATAACAACCCTGCCCTTCTCAGGTTGTATATACGTATATGGGACCAAACCTCACACGAGGCTGGGAGTCCAGATGCCCTTTACACAAACCAAAACCCCATGTTCATGCTGGGAGGACCTCACGTCAGCAGGCAGAGGAGCTCAAAAAACCTGGGGTCAATGTGTGCAGCCCTGCTCAGGAAGCTGATGCCACCAGCTGCAAGCTCTCAGCTATCCGCAGATGCTTCTACTGCAGAAAACCCACGAGGCTGTCAGAGTGATGCAAAATCGCAAGGATAACTGCTCACAAAAACAGGGTCTCTGAATGGCTCTGGAAACCTGCAGCACGCAGCTGGTGCAAAGTGTAAAATGAGGGGAGAGTCTTACTAAGCAGGGAATTTAAAAAAAAAAGAAAAGTCCCCAACAAACCCAGCCACATGGAAATTTGGTTGAAGAAACGCGAGTCGTGCCGAGAATGAAGATGCGCGTGGACCAATTACCAAACTACTACAGCAGCATTTTCAATTTGTTAGGTAATAAAACTGAGCTTCCTCAGCGACCGTCAGTGCAGACCCTCACAGCAGCTCTGCATCATGCAGGAGACCGCTTGCTGCTGCCAGTGTTTGCAGCCCCTTGGGCTCTAGGGCTGGAGGCTGGGGAGCTGAAAAGCTCCATCTCAGCAGCAGCAGGGCTGGGAACCTTTCCTTTCTTACCCCCTGGCAAAGACATATCCCGAGTGTGACTCCCCGGAGTGGCTAGTTACTCTCTGCTATTAAAATCTGGAATCAGGAGTACCCCTTGAAAGGCGTACCTGCAGCCTCTCCTCCCACAGCACCCATCTTCCTTCCCACATGTCAACATCAAAGCTGCTGGGGGTTCAGGGAATGAACCCACCTGTGCCACCCTTGGCCCTCCGCCCCTCCTGGCTCATTGCAGCCAGAGAGCAGGAGCCCAAGTGCCATTATTCCTTTCAATTGCTTGATAAAAGTAAAGAAATAGGGCCGCAATGAAAGCGAGAGCTGTTGAACAGAGTTGAACAGACCACCAAAAGCCCTCTTGCAAGGTTCTTTTACTAGAAGATATTAAGGATATTAAGCCCAAGCTCAGATGGTATTGGTGGCTCCCTACTCATCTTCCCTCCCGCGTTTTGGGATTGTTTCCTGGCTCCTGTAAGAGGCCAGCCTTCTGTTTCCAAGCACAGGGCTTTTTCCTGACCCTGCAGAGCCCCTCCAAGATGCCATTTGCAACTCTGCGGGTCACTTTCACCTCCTTGCTGCCGAGGGAGTGTTTGCTGGCCGGTGGTGGGCAGAACAGGGATGTCTCCATGGCTGGGAATGGTCTTGCCCTTGCAAGATGGGTGGTGGGAAGCACTTGACTCCCAGGAGCAGAGTCTGCAAGCCAGGCTTAGAGGCAGCAGTTTGCTGCTTGTGGTGGCCATCAGAGCCTGCAGCAGCGGCCGCTGGAGTGGGAGGACCGGCCGCAAGCATGAGAAAGGCTGGCAGAGGAATGGCAGCTCCAGAGACTCCCAGGGAGGAGGGCGACAGAGGTGCTGTCTGTGCCTTATCACAGGTAAACAGCATGGGTTATTGTGCCCCATCATCCATGCTGCCTTTGATATTTCACCAAGCTCACTTAGTCATTTGGGGAAACAAAGGTTGTTATTGTTCTCCAGGCGCACAGCTAAGGCGTGCTCCCTCCTCTCTGCTTGTACCTTGCCCCACTGGGCAAGGAAATTCCCTTTCTTGCAGGGACTCAGGCTGGATGCACCAAGGGCACCCCATACCCAAGGGGTCCATGGGCAAAGAAGCCACCAGGCAATAGGGCTCTGCAGGCAACGGGGCGCCGGGTAAAGCATCCCATCAGGGCAGCACAAGCCTCTGGGGGTACTGGGTGGGTCCCCACTGGCGTGGTTGGTTGTTGGTGGGTCAGCAGAGGAGCTGACCAGATTGGGGAACACTGGAGAGAGGATGTTGCTTCACTACCTGAAGGCAGAGTTCAAGTTTACAACCCCCGTCACATCACCAGAGGTCCAGCGCTCGCACAGCAGCTGGGATGGCGTCGGTCGTGTTGCTCTGCCGCTGCGCTGGCCCGTCTCTTTGCAAGAGAGAAGGGGCAGGCTGAACACCCGTGCCTGCATGGCGTGGGCGTGGGGAGCCCACATCAGGCAGTGGGCACCGCGAGTGGCCTCCACGGAGGGGCAGGGGCAGTTTGGAGGCACGCTGCGTGGCGTGGCCAGAGGAGTTCACAACACGCACACGCAGCTGCTGGCGAGGGGCCCGGGAGCTGGAGGCCAGCCTGGGGGGGGGAAACACAGAGAGAAACACTAAAACAGGCACAACCCAAGGGGGCCAGGCTGGGGAAGGGGGTGTTTACAGAGGCCCACAGTCCTTGGCTGCCATGGCGGGAGGGCAGCAAGGAAAGGCCGTCGGTGCGCAGGCGGCCCCGGCAGATCCCATTTGTAGCACATCAGGGGTTTGCCACACGTAGGCCCGCAAGTTTTGATCCAGATTTGAGAGTTTCAGGGACTGGGCTCATCAGTGCACCTGCCCGGAGGTGGCAGAGCCCTGTTGTGAGGATTGAAGTATTTCTGTGGATCAACAACCCAAGGAGGAGGCAGGAAGCCAGGAGGAAAGTTCAAAGATCGATTTTCATTCTGGCAGAAGGTTAAGGGTAGGGAATATGAATGCTGCCTCCGAGGTCCCAGATAGCTCCGTATATGAACTGATGATCTGGAAACAAAGCTGAGCAATATACCAAACATTTTTTAGAGATGACTCAAAGCTATTGACTTCTGAGAAGATCAGAAAGGACTGTAAGTAAAATGCAAATGTGGCAAGTGGGCAGCACCATGCATTTACCAAGGTTTAACTAGGCATGTGCCAAATCAGAAAAGAGAAAACAAATTACACGGAAGAATTACAAAGCTCCAGACAGTCTATAACAACTCAAGAAAGAATCAGGTTGTCACACAAACCCTGGCTCTGTGAGTAGCTGCAGGTTAAAAAAAATAAGCACACACAAAATATTAGTATGCAGAAGGAAGAAGGGGAGAATAATATGGAAAATATGATAATGCTATTATGTAAATCACTAGCACGGCCTCTCTGGGAATACTGTCTGCAGTTCAAGTCAGCCTTTCTCAGAAAGGGCTGATTAGGGGCATGGCAAACTCGCTCACAAAGAGAGATCGAAACGATTGGGGTTGTTTATCTCGGAAAGGAAATGAACAAGAGGAGATTGGCACGGAGGGAGCCAGTCCAGAGCTTCTGGTTTTCTTCCTGTTGAATTCTATCGCTGTCATATCTGGTGTTGCTGAGAAGTGCATGAAGTGATGTGGCTCTCCTCTGTCACACACGGTTTGCTCTTTCACTCTCTCCCCCAAGGGAGGCACAGCATATGCAGTTATGGTTTATATTTTGGTAGGATGTGGGGAGGAGAAGATGGCTAAGAAGGAATAATTACTCCCCTGAGTAGACATGCAGTAGAGAAAGTGAGAACGGAAAAGGGGGATTTATACCTGGACAGAGGGGTGGAAGGTCCTGGCCTTTGGAAGGCTCCTTCCATCTCCTCAGGCAGACCCTGGAGAGGCTGCCAGCTGACTGCCCTTCTCCTACAGCCCTTGAGACTTCCAGACCAGGCCCTGAGGTTCCTTGGAGATAAAGACAAGGAGCTTTAGTTTGTTAAGTTATTCTGTGAAAAGCATCAGGGTAGTCAGAGGTACCTTCAGACACACACAGCATTCAGCCACTGCTCTCTGCCTACCCTGAAGAACCAAAGAAACCTTCTCTGTTTACCCCCACATTACTCTGGGCAGCCAGCAAGCACAGCCAGAGATGACCGCGACGGCCTCTGCTGTGGACATCGACTCGCTGCAGTGTGCTGAACTCTCCCCTTCCTCACACCAAGCCGTCTGATGGCATTTAGGCCTGTCAGAGCCAGAATGACAAAAGGAAATACCTATTAGTGCTCCTGCTGTTCTGGTCCACGGGGAGCATGCTTACAGGCACATGGAGCTGCCAAGGCCGACAACCCAGCCCGTTTCGCCACGGTACATGAAGCCCAGGCTGCTAATAAGACCATCGTGGCAGAACAAGCCTGGTGTCCCAAGGTGGATTCAGTACAGGTGCCCACCTCGAGGGCAGCTGCAAGTCTAAGGAGGGGAAGAGGAAACTCCTGTCCTCGCCGCCGTGACAGCTCAAGCCAAGGTGGGAAGCAGCTGCTCCACCCTGGGCTGTGCAGGCCCAGCCTGGGTCCCTCCGGGCCACACCGTGGGGGGTCCCACATACCCCTGTGCTCCCCTCAGCCCTTTCAGGGTGTCCCCAGCCCTCACTCCACCCCACCCTCTTCCCCACAGCCATCCCTTGAAGGGCACGGCCTCCTCAAACCGGAGCAGCACCGGGCCCAGCTTGCCCCGTCCCAGCCCCAGCTGGGAGCAACCAGGGGGCGGCGGTGCCCCTCCCCGCCGGCAGGGGGCAGCCTGACGGCGCGAGCGGGAGGCGCAGAGCGTCGCCCCCCCCCCCCCCCTCCCGCGCCGGCCGTCGAGGCGGCGGGCGCGGCGCCCCGCCGCCAGGAGGCGCCAGCGCTGCGCCCCCGCCCCCGCCGGGGACTCCCGCTCTCTGATTGGCGGCGGCCGGGGTTACGACCCGGAAGCGGATCGGCCATGTTGCCGAGTGACCCCCGGAGCGGTGCCGCCGGGCGGTTCTGCTGAGGGGACGCGGTTACCGTGAGGGACGCGGAGCGGTTCCCCTTCCCTACCCCGGTCCTTCCCGGTGAGTGGGATGCTGCCGGTCCCCGGGGTGTGCGTGGGGGGGTGTGGGCCGGGACACCCCACCTCGGGGCCCCGGTGAGGAATGGGCGCTCCCCGCGGGAAGGGCCGGGTCGTGGGGCCCGCCGGCTCCCCCGCAACAGGGCGTGGGGCCCGTAGCGAGCCCGTTATTCCCTGTGCCCTGTTAGAGCTGCTGCCCTCGCCCTCCCCGAGCCGCAGAGGACGGCTGCGTGCGGGGCCAGGCGGCGGCGGCGGCCGATGCGCCTCTCGGGGAGGGAGAAGCTGACTCGGATCCCGCACTCCATCACCTCTCTCTAGGTCGCCCGTCCACGCAGCTGTCCCCCATGGCAGCGTGGTCCCGGGAGGCCGTCCTGACCCTCTACCGGGCTCTGCTGCGCCAGGGCCGCAGGCTGCGCTACACCGACCAGGATTTCTACCTTGCTTTCATCCGCCGCGAGTTCCGCAAGAACCGGGGGCTGCAACAGCTGGAGGATAAGGAAAGACAGTTGGAGAAGGGGCAAGCTTTCCTGCGGAGCAAACTGGGGGGCCTGGTTTAGAGATTCGCTGTAGCTCCTTCTGGCCTCGCTTCCCTCTTCTTTCCGAAATCCCCTTGCCAACCAGAAGAGATGATTAACACTCCCTGCCTGCCACTGTCTTGAAGAAGTCTGGAAGGTGCTTCCTCAGGCACACCAGGAGGGCTCTCCTCTTCACAAATGCATTAGGTCACAGGTAGGTCGTTTACAATTATATAACCGTGTTCTTCATGCTACTACTGCAGTTAGCTTCATGAAAGTGTGGGTTTCTTCTGGGGCTGAAGAGTGACTGGACTCCTGGTTCATCAAGGCAGGAACACTCCTCCCGAGATTGCAGCTTGGCCTTAGAAAAATCTAAGGGCAGTTTTAAACCACCCAAGTTGGGCAGGCTCTGAACCTTTGAAACTGACTTAGAAAACAGATCTTGAGTCAGGTTGGAAGAGTTTTGTGGTGTTTTCATGTAGATTCACTGAGGATCCACCTACACTGTTTTACACGTGTAATTGGTCAAGGAGGCTCTTTAAATTTAAATATCAAGAGCAGGTTAAATGGGATTTGGGGGAAAGAAAAGTACACGTGTAAGAAAATATTAACATTCACGTTATACGTGACTTTTATGAGAGTGAAACCCACCAGCCTTGAGGACAGGAATAAATGTCCAGTGAAAGCAAGGGAGCTGTTCTTTCTGGTGCATCATTGTCTCTCCTGTTGATTCTTGGGTGTCTTTGAAGTATCTCGGACCAGCCATTGTCTAACAATGAGTCTGGGAGTGGGTGCTCTGAGACTGCCTGTCAGCTCTTGGGGAGACTCTCATTTGTTGTAGACAAGCAGTTGACTATCCCTGCGTCGCTTTCTCTGTGAGCAAAATTAAACACGTTAGATTAAGAAAATAAATTGGCTTTAAAAAAGCCATGCTTTGGCTGAGAAACGCAAATTAAAAGGAAAAGGCCATAGAGTTTTACATCATATAAAGGATTTTATTGCAGACTGTTGCTCAAGGAAGTCTTGCTTTCTTTTTGAAAAAGCATTAGATGATTGCACAGTTAAACCTGCATCAGTGATTAGAAGCCCCACATCACAGTCAGGATGTTTTTCTTCAGGTCATGAACAGAGCTGGAAGCAAAGAAAAGCTGTCATTGCAGAGCTGGGTCAGTACTGCTCTGCTGTGTCGGGGGTACAAGCAGCTCCTCAAGGGAAGATGATTAAAGAGGCTGCAGGGTTAGATGGTTGCGTCCTATGGCTCTGTGCTAAGAGCCCAAGAGTCGTGAGCGTGGGGTGGAGGACAGGGGAGCCAACCACGGGGATTGCATGTTTTGACCCCATTTGTTTAATGCTCCCGCTCCTTCCAGGTGAGATGGCAGGCGCTGGGCAGCGCAGAGGAAAAAAAGATGACAACGGCATCGGCACAGCCATCGACTTCGTGCTGTCCAACGCCCGGCTTGTGCTGGGTGTGGGTGGAGCAGCCATGCTGGGCATCGCCACGCTGGCCGTCAAACGGGTGAGGGAGCGTGCAGGACAGCGGGGTGGGACCTGAGCACGGGGGACACTGGAAAGGAGTAGTGGGAAACAAAAAGACCCGGGATGCTGGCACTAGGCTGGATAAAAGGCAAACGTTGGGTCCTTTAACGACTCAAAACTGTGCCTGGTGTTGTTGCTTTAGATGTACGACCGGGCAATCAGTGCTCCCAGCAGCCCCACTCGCTTGAGCCAGTCAGGAAAGAGAAGCTGGGAAGAGCCAAACTGGCTGGGCTCCTCCTCACGCTTACTGACCCAGGATATGAAGACGAACCTCAGCCGCTCCCTGCAGACCCTTCCCACCGATCCTTCGGCCACAGACACAGGTAAGGAGCAGGGTGACACTCCTGCATTACAGAATCATCCAGGCCCATAAACCCTGTATTCATTTATAGGAACGCAGGAAAGAGAATACTCTTTCTAGCCCAGGATTTTGATGTTTTTCTTTTAAGCAGGTCTACTGGTAACTTCAAGAATTAGAAGTCGGGTTGGGAACAAGTGAATAATAGTTCTCTATTTGCATCTTTCATTCCTCTCGTGACTTCATAGTCTTAAGCTTTATTCTCCCTCAGTCTTTTCTCTTTCAAGCTGAATAATTACTTGTGCAATCTTTCACGATAAAAAGCCATTCCATCCTTTCAGGCTCTTTGCCTTTCTTTGTATTGTTCCAGTTTGTGTCTTTTTAAGAGGAGAATATTCAAACTGTGAATGCACTAGCAATTTAGAACAGTAATTCCTATGTTATTTCCATCATTTTCCTAACAATTTCTGTAACGCTGTTTGCCTGTTTAGGGCTGCTTATCACTGAGGTAGTCTTCATCTGGCTGTAAAAAGTGACCTGCAGTCATCTTTTTGAGTGGGATAATAAGTTATTTAGAGTCCTTCAGTGTTTGTTATATTTGTCTCGTTGTTTTTTCTCACTGGTTTCACTTTCTATCCCTGGTCACTTCAGGAGATTTACACTTGCAGATTTAAAATAAAAGTCAGGATCAAGCTTTTAACTTGATTTCCAAGTTCTCTGCAAGAAAGTCAGGTTCAGAATGGCAATGGATTTTCTGCTGAGGAAACATTAAATAACTAGACAGTTGTGTTAAATGGGGCCTGGATCATTTGATTGGAGCCCCCAAAGATGAAGATTGAGGAATAAAACCATCGATGAAGGCCTCTTGCTTAAAAATAAATTAAAACTTAAGATGGAAAAGTAAGTTTTTTCATGAACAGGCAATGAAGTCAGGTTCCCTGTGGTTCTGTGAGCTATTTGCCTTTCACACAAGACCTCAAACCTTTCCAAAAGCCCACAGTGGGACAGGAGGGCAGCAGCAGCTGAGGTTGGGCAAGATGGGTCTGTGCACAGCTTGGTCAGCCATTCTGCATATGCTGCATGGCCAAATGCCTGATGCCAAACAAATGTGCAACAGCTGATTGCCTTAATGGGGCTTGGGAGTTTCTCCTGCACCCGTTAAGTGCCACAGCCCTTTGACAGATCTCTTAGATCTGTTATTCTTCCTTAATTCTCATTGATAACTTCTGAAACTCTTGGTCTGTATTAAGAATAGTCTGAAAGACAGATGGGAAGCATTGACTGACTTCTTTAGGAAACTAGTCAGGAAAAAAGGGGCTTTGTGGATCTGTGCAGGTTAGACATTGCTTAATAACACAGGTGGCAGCATAAAGCCTTATATTGCTGTGTTGTGCCTAAGAGTGTGCTCTCTGTTCCTCAGCCAGTGAAACTTTGAGGGAGGTTTTCCCTGGGGCTATGACTGCCTGAGCTCTGCTGGCCCCAAGATCTGTCAGCTCATCATCCTGATTAAGTGTTGTTCAGACTCTCAGCAACTGTTTCATTTCCAGGTGGTGTGATCTACTCTGCTCTCATAACCTAGTCAGGACTGGGGTTTGCTGATAATTTGTAAAAATCCATTATAATGTTAAAGACTTAATGAGATTGTGATGGTTGTTCAAGAGTGTTTTATCCACTGGTCTGGGATCAGGTTGAAAGTTTCTGAACTGGTAACAGTGCTGGATTTTTGATGAAATCGACCTGAGGTACTGCCCACATAGCCATTAAAATTACTTCCTTGTACACAATGTTAGTCTTGTTCTGGCTAAATTCCAAATCTAATAACTTGCTTTCATCCAGTTTGATGCTCATAGTAGTATCTTTTGAAGTTTCTCAGCGGCTCCCTTTTGACTGGTGCTTATGTAAAGCATGCAAAATGTCTGCTGAAATCTTTTGAGACTTAGGAGGCTGCACTTCCACGCTGCAGATTTTCTTCTGTGCATCACTTCACAGTGAAACACTGCGGACGATCAACAGTTTCCCTTCTGTCTTGCAGACTTTTTCCGACCCACAAGGCCCAAGCCATCTGCCAAGAGGAGTCAAGTGGAGCTGAAAAAATCCCGCCTTCGTCTGTCTCTGCAAGAAAAGCTCTTTGCTTATTATCGGAGGAAGGTGGCTATCCCAGCAGATGAGCAGGCCCGGGCCAAGCAAGCAGCTGTGGATATCTGTGCGGAGCTGCGCAGCTTCCTGCGTGCCAAGCTGCCGGACATGCCCCTGCGTGACATGTACCTCAGCGGCAGCCTGTATGACGATCTGCAGGTAATTCCTGGGCCCATGTGATGGGTCATTATTCAGAAGGCTGACAAGGCAGGGACGTTTCGGGCTTCCCTGGTGGCAGTGCTGGCTCAGCACAACATTCCTCTCTAATAAGGCTCCTGGGTGTCGACCTTCCCACTGTGGAGCCCAGGGGTTGATTTCTGCAGTATTGTTTGAACAGGCGTGACCAGGCCGCTCCAGTCTGCAAAGCATTTGCTTTTTGCTCTTTTATTTCTCCAGATTATCTCAGCCCTTCTTTCCTTCCCCTCTGTCTCTCCCTTTAGCAGTGTCTTTTACTGCTGTGTCCCTGGTAGACCTCTGTTTTCCTTCCTTCCAAATCCTTCCAAATACATGATATTCCCTTAGAACTCCTGTGTATTCATGTAGGTCTTCCCTACTCCTTTTTTTTTTTTTTTTTTTCTTAATGCATGACAGACCTGGATTGGACAGCAGTCCCTGCTGCATATCTCCCTGATGGCAAGATGCCCGTGGCTATAGTGAGTGATTCAGAGGCACACTTTTTTGTTTGAGTCACAGCTCTGGAATGGAGTGTCGAGTGTCCAGTGAAACTTAGATCCGGAGTCTTAATCACATTGGTGAAAAGGGATCTTTAATAACCTTTTTTCAAACAACGTGGCAGACCAGCTGAGGGCAGTACCTACTTGTAGCATGGGATAATTAAACCATGGCAACTTAAGCTTGTCTAGAAACTTAATACTCTGCCTGTTGTTTTAAATTATCATGTGGTGTTGCTGTGCCCTGGGCCAGCAACATCTCACATCCAAGTAGACTTAAAGCAATAGGAGGCAAAATGATTTGTCTATATGCAGCCCATGGCAGGTCCTGAAGTGTTAAAGATCTCCAAATAGCACAGACCATATAAGCACTAGCTTGGGCCATACCTTGGAGTTATCCCACTGATGATGGGAGAGTCCTTCAGGATTTTTTTTTGACAGAGGGAGGCTGTGAATCCCACTCAGAGAGGAGAGTGAGACAGCTGAATCCTTATTCCAAGCTTCTTTGAGCAGAAGGCTTTCTAAAGGTAGTGAATAGAAGCAAGTGTGGAGAGAGAAAGCTTGTTCTTACTGACTTTTCTCTCTTGTGAAAGGTAGTGACAGCTGACCACATCCAGCTCATTGTGCCTCTGATGCTGGAGCAGAACCTGTGGTCCTGCATCCCCGGAGAGGACACTATCATGAACATTCCTGGCTTCTACTTGGTGCGTCGGGAAAATCCAGAGTACTTTCCCCGTGGGAGCAGCTACTGGGACCGCTGTGTGGTGGGAGGTTACCTTTCCCCCAAAGCTGTAGCAGACACCTTTGAGAAAGTTGTAGCTGGCTCCATCAACTGGCCAGCAATTGGGACTCTCTTGGATTACGTGATCCGTCCAGCAGCTCCCCCAGCAGATTTGACACTGGAAGTCCAGTATGATCCAGAACGGCATCTTTTTATTGACTTCCTGCCATCCCTGACCCTGGGTGACATCATCCTTGTGGCCAAACCCCATCGATTGGCCCAGAATGACAATTTGTGGCGACTGAGCCTGCGGCCAGCAGAAACAGCTCGCCTCCGGGCCCTGGACCAGGGTGATTCTGGCTGCCGTTGCCTGTGCCTGAAGATCTTCAAAGCAGTATGCAAGTCAAACCCAGCCCTGGGTCACCTCACTGCCAGCCAGCTCACCAATGTCATCCTGCACCTATCCCAAGAAGAGTCCGACTGGTCCCAGGACATGCTGGCTGATCGCTTCTTGCAGGCGCTGAAGGGGTTGATCCGTTATCTGGAGGCAGGTGTTCTGCCTAGTGCTCTGAACCCCAAGGTGAACTTGTTTTCAGAGCTAACCCCTGAAGAAGTGGATGAGTTGGGCTATACCCTCTACAGCTCTCTGTCAGAGCCAGAGGTTTTGCTGCAGACGTAATGGGGCCTTACCTAGGGAAGTCTTGATAAGGTTTAGCCACGGTGGACTTCGATTACTGCGAAATATGTCTCCTCCACTTTTCTCTCTCTCTCTGTCTCCTTTTGGCTCATTATTATTTCCTGCTGTGGAGCTGGTGCTCCCACTGAATTTCTTGGTGCTACAGGTCCGTTTCCATCATTTCTGCCCCAACAGGTACCGACTGGCTAGGGAAAAGAGGCTAAAATTGCCCCTCTAAGATCTTTGCATAAATTCTGCACGTTTAAGTGTCTACCAAAAAAAAAAAAAGGCAAACTATGCACTTCTTTCTCCTGTAGTACACTTACTGTAGTGAGTCCATTTTGGTCTGAAGAAGGTAGAACTGGGCTGGTAAATCCAGTGATGATTTTAGCAGACTTGCATTGAGGTCCTTTCCTTTCCTCCAGTCTGACTTTGCCCCATGTTTCTTTTTCTCTGCTGTACCACACTGTCTCTCCTTTTTTTTTTTTTTTTTTTTTTTTTTTTTTTTTTTTGTTCTTCTTTTGTTTTCTGGTCCCTTTGATCCAGTCATGCAGGGCAGACTGAGATGTTTTGGATAGGGTTGTTTTTTTTATTTCTGAGTGGATAATGATTACACTGCTAGTATTTAGGGCTGTAGAGCTTGGAGTAGGAGAATAGCCATGCCCATGGCTCTCGCTCCTATGGGGCCTTCTCATCCTTTGCAAGCTGGGTTCAGGAGTAAAGGACTAAGGTTTGTCCAGTCTGCTGCAACACAACCTCCAGTACAGGCAGTTCTCACTGAAGCTGTCATAGGGGAAGAACAAACCTTTGTGGTCTGGTTATGTGATGAGGCTGAAGGAGCAGGGCTTGCCATTCCTGCCTAGCCAGATCTGCTGGGTGTTGTTGCTGATGGGAATGGCCCTGGGAATGGTGGCTTCTTAAAATGTCTCTGGCCTAGAGGAAGAGAGGCTGATTATGTGGGAGGGGTGGGAGGAGACAAACATGGGAACAGGGATCTTTTTCTTCTTTTTTTTTTTTTTTTTTTTTTTTGTTTTCTCCTCCATCTTTTCCTCAAGAGCTTATGGCTGTTCTGGTTTATAGGAGGTGGAAGCAAGACCACATGCCTCAAAGGGCTTTGTAATAAGCACATGTAAGCCAGATTCTCACCAGCTGTAAGTCTCTGAAGGTGATAGGACTAAACTAGTGTCATCAGCAAGGTTCTGTCCCCTACACTGATATTAGGGTACATATGCAGAGCTGGCATTTAGAGATATGTTGGCTTTGCCATCTGCTCTCAGTGGATGTTTTAGTCCCCTCCCCAGCTGCCTGAGCACTGAGACTGTCCATCCCCTTCCTCATTCCCTTGCGCTGACTTTCCAGGGCTCCCAGTTTACAATTACTCTTAGAAAGCTGGTGAGGGCACACCTTCCCATTCTGTCTGTTGGGACCTGTTGGTAATGCAGTTCTGCCCACTCCTGCTTATGGCTGGCGTCAGGAGGTTCTCCCTTGGCTGCCCTCCCATCTGCTGCTGGACTGCGGGATGGGTTTTGGGGGGCAGCTGCTGCTGCTCTGTTGGTATCTCCTAAACTAGCTGTGTAGACTCTATACTCAGCATTAAGCCTTCTGGCCTCCTGTCTTCAAAAAGGGGGAAGGAGGGTGCCCTCCTGAGTCTGGGGCTGTGTCTCCCTCAAAAGACCAGTGCAGCTGTCATTACAGAAACATCCTTGCCATTTCCCATCTTTAGCACTATTTTTCCCCCTTGCTATCCAGCTTCCCTAGCCCATGGAGAGGGGCACTGCAGCAGCAGAGTTTGGAGGGAGCAGAATCCTTTTCTCCTACCTTCTTCTCAAGATTACCCCCTGGTCTTCCTTTGACAGAGGAGTTTCAAGGTGAGTTTCAGGAATGGAACCACAGAGTCGAGTCTTTAGCCCTTGTTTTCTTTTTAGAGGCAGTGCTGGTGAGATGAGGGAGGGAGCATCTTTCTCAGACGATCCGTCCATTTTAGCCAATGTGTCAGATAGTATTCTGTATACAGTGATAACACAACGTCACATTTTAAATTATTTAATCCTTAGGGTACTGGTATTTTCTAGACTGCCAGATGTGTACTTTGAAGTTTGTGTGTGTATATAAAGTCTGTAGTCTACAAAAGGTTAACAGAAATTCTGTTTGTATGATTTTGTGTTTTGTAAGTTTTGCAGCAGTGTTGGTCATCTGTTGTTTACTCTTCACTCTGGTTCCCAGATTTCTTCCCCTCTTCCTTTTCCTGCCCTCTGCTGCCTTTCTGATGTCAGCCTTCCTACCCTGAAAGCAGACAGATGAGACTTGGAGCCTATAGGCTATTGGGGAAAATTCCCCTTTCTTTTAATTACTTGAAGGTCAACAAAAATATTAAAATATCTGGGTTGTCAGGAGCTCCCCATAAGTTCACTTCTTCGGTATGATCTTACCCCTCACTTGGTGCTGACTAATACTATGGTCTTCACACAGAATTGAGCAACAACATAGTCTGGAATTATCAAAACTATAGATACAAAAAAGGCAAGACATAAACAGGAGAAAGCCACTGTGAGCTGGCTTGAGAACAGTTGCCACATACATATCTGTAAAAAATTTTTTGCACGAGTGCTTTTACTTCTTCCTGGCAACCTAATGAATTAATATTTTATGGCCATTTCTTGCTGCTATTGAGCTCAATTTGTGTATCAAATGGAGACTGAAGCTGCCTTTTGGCCTTTTCTGTAGACTTTGCTCTAATTCACTTGAATCACTTCCATCACTTCTTCCCCTCAGTTTTGCCTTCCTCTGAGCTAGCCACAAGCCTGCTGTTGGGAGGCAAATGCTCACTTCCTACAGGCAGCCACCACAGCTGGCCATAGCTGCCCTGGCAGTGGCAGTCTGGGCAAAGGCCAAAGATGTGATGGGTCACGGGGACACTGCAATTAGGAGTATTTCAAGAGCAGGGTCAAGCACAAGGGCAACAGAGGCAGGGAAGAAAAAATAGGGTAAGTATGCAGGAAACTTATACTAATGCTGTACCTGGCCTGTGGGTCAAACAGACAGTTGCAGAGCCTTTTGAACTGGCACCTTTCAGTATTAAATGCAGTACATGTGTTGACATACAGCCCGGAGAGCTGTCTTACCTATGTGTAGGCTCCTTCCTAGTCAAAGCTGTAGCCCAGAGCAGGAGGACCTAAAGCTGAATGTGAAAAGGGCAGCTCCCAGCCACCTTCCTGGCAGAGCAGCTCAGAGACAGATTGATTGTAAGAGGCCCAGAGCGTGCATTTGGTCGGTTGCTGCCTGGGCTCCAAGAATGCATCGGTGTGTTCTGCTATAGCTTAGCTCATGCGAGCTTCCCACGAGATTGTTGCCTTGTTCCCTGTAACCACAGGGCAAGGACCAGCTTGCTCAGCTGTGGGGTTTCACTGCTGCTGAGCTCCACCACTAATTCTTCAAGTCAGATGGATTTCTTTTCCTGTGTTTAAAAGCGATTATGGAAACAAGAGGCTGCTTTCTGCCTCCTGGTGAGGTGCCATCAGGGCCTTCCCTCTTAGCATGTGGGTGCTCGCAGTGAGAAGTGAAGAGATGATGCTCCATCTCTCCCGGGCCTTGGAGGCTGTGGATTTACAAAGGGGAAAGTCTAAGTGCATGGTCTGTGACAGAGTGCGTGAAATTCTGAAATAAAATGACTTTCCACAGTAACCTGGTTGTCTCTGGTGCGTTTAATAAACACAGGAGCGTGTCTCCGCTGTTGTCCCAGCGCATCACCTTTATGCTGATACAGTTCTGCACCACACCCGTGCTTGGGGACTGACATGCCCCTTGCTGATTCACTTGCTTTCCCTTTGTGGCTCTGGGCGCTCGGCGTTCTGCAACTTGTCTGGAGAGAGCAATCAGCTCGGTACTGCAGCGAGCTGGCTCCTGGCAGCACTCTCAGCAGTCACAAGACGATGTGTAATTATGGCGCTGTGCCTCCCATCCTTTCTCTGATAGCCTGCGTGCCCGGACAGGCACCTGCTTTTCAATTGAGTGGCTCTCCAGACTTCGCAGGCTTCGGTGCCTCTTAATATTAAACTTTCCTGGGCAGACTCCTCCGCCCTTGCTCAGTCTCACGTTGGTTTCTGCGTGCCAATCCTTTCCCCTGCCAGATGTGCTCCTCTCTTATCCAAGCATCAGCCTTGTGGCAGTGAGGAAGCTGCTTGTGCCAGGGGCCTGTGTCTGGTGTATTGAAGCTTTTCACAGCAGGACCCAGTTTCCTGTGCCTGCCTGGAAAGGTGGGGCAGAGGTGTTGGATGTCACGTAAAGCGTGAAGTGATGCTGCTTTTGATGGATCCCAGGCCTCTTAATTCTGGGAAGACGTGCTGCGGCGACAACATTGTCCTGTGAGACTTGTTTTCATGAGGATTTGGCAATTAACACTTAACTATTTTGGAGGATATGTTACGGTATAAAGGGAGTCTACATCTCTTTTTTTTTTTTTTTTCTCTGATAGACCTTGCCTGTGGTGTTTTTTTGTTTTTTTTTCCTTTAATCAGTTCTGTGGTAGAAATAGATCAGATGAGGTCAAGCACATTTCATGTTGTATGCAATCTTATGGGAACAGCTAAAACGAACTGCTCTGTGGAATCTGTGCCAGGCATTACCCCCTCCAGTTAATGCCCCTGGAAAGCCTGGAGCTTGCAATACATGTTTAATGTATGCAGCGGTTTGCACTTTTGCATAAAAGCTGTCCCAGCATGAATAGGGAGGAAAGATCAAAAGATATGGGTTTGTTTAATGTAGAGAAGAAATAATTGAGGGGAGTCATGATAATTATTTCAAGTATGGAAAAGGTTCTCCAGGCTGCAAAGACACAGCATGTCTTTTGTTCTTAGCCTAAGGAACAAACAGCTTAGGTGGAAGGTGAATTTTGGAAAAAGCAACATATTTTGTGTGCTTTGTTACAGAACCACGGTCCTGTCCTGTAAATGAATGTAGCTGAGCTTACCTTTTACTTATTTATTTTTGCATCTCTTAATTTTAAAAATAAATAAATTACAGCCTGACTATTCTGTAACTAATCTTAGGCTGGGGGAGAGAGGGTGACTATACCCCAGATTCGAGATTATCATGCTAAAGTGTTGAACTGTATGATGAATGTTTCTTTTTTTTCTTTTTTTCCCAAATACTTAATGACCTCTGCGTTTTTTTAAGGTTTATTTTATTATTCTAAACTCCCAAAAAGCTGCAAACAGCTGCTGCTTTTAAAATTTAGTCTCATGGGGAAAAGAGGAGCCTCTTCCAAACAAGGAGATCCTCTTCTGGAGAAGATAAAATATGTTGGCCCACTACCCACACTAGGTATGATTCGATGGCTCCAGCATGGCTCACTGAATCATAGACTGGATCTTGAAATGTTAGGCTCTACTCACAGATGCAGCAAGGAAGAAATGGGAGATAGTCTCTCCTACTTGTGAAATGCAGTATTGGCTTCCAGTCCTAGGAACACTGCTGCAGTCTAGACACTTGGAGAACTGTTTGAGGTATCTGGATTTTATCTTCTTTCTCCTTGTCAATCTGAGTTATGATCTGAGGGATTCAAGAAGTATCTTCCCACTCCCTTTTTTCTTTTTTTTCCCCTCTTATTTTTTTCCTAAGATTCAACACCTTCTTAAAAATAGCTCTTGTGTAACAAGTGTGTCCCCTACACATGGAAAGCACAGTGTAAAAGTTTGACTAGCATATTCTGAGAGGGACTATTCACAAGTCACAGAGCCAGAGATGTAGTGGTGAGCAGGCTAATAAATGTCTTTATAGTATCTGGTCGTGTGAAACAATCTTGCAAATGGTAAAGCGAAAGAGCAATGGGTAGGGCAGGGAACACCCGAAATCATTCTGCACATAGAAAGCGTTCTTCCCATTTTACGAATAGCAGGAGAGTGGGAGACAGAGTTTGACTCATGGAACTCAAACTTCATGATCTTAAGCTTTCCTAAGTACTCATGTAGAAGTCAGTTCTGAACAAAATGACTTTAAACACGCTAAAAGTCAGATTGATTTTTATTTTGGTTCAATTTCCCTGGCTCCCGTGGCTAAGTAGCTCTTTGATCTGTCTACTAACACTCAGTGCTAAGCTTCTCAAGGGAAATATATATATATCAATTCTAATCACATTCTTCATGAAAAGCCTTCTCCATACAAATAATGGGCAAAAGGTGCTTGCCTGTTTAGGATTTTCTTTTTTTAGGCAACAGTGCCCTGGATTCAGCACGAGCCCACCCCTTCCTCTCCTCTCTCTGGTAGAATTGTCACGGTTCCACAGGAGCACAGGGGTGATATACTGCCCCATCAAGACATCCCACTAAAATGATCCCAGACCTGTGAGGCTCCTGTCTCGTTCTGATCAGCAGTGCAAAGGACAGCGACCTAACAGGCAACACACAAGGGCACAGATAGCAAATGATGGACTGTGTTGGCTCTTTACCTGTCCCACAGCAGACATTACTTCAACACTCGTAATGCCCTGCCAGGCTCCTTACCCCCTCTGAAAGGCAAGAAGCAATCATTCTTGGAAGCAGTATGGTAGAGAGACATTTTTGCCTTCAAATGCCTGAATTTATTTAGCACAGAGGATAGTTATAGCCTTGGACATAACTACTATTGCCACTTACATAGATAATATAATCTGAATTACATTAAACTCCTGGTTGCTTATAGCCGTGGTGATATGCTGTCAGAAGGCCTGAGATCTGTGAAGCAAAGGTAGTACAAAACGCAGTAATCCCATAGGTCACTGATCTGCAGCTCCCACATTGCTTGTTAGAGAGCATGTTGGCAGGGGTCCCAGCTCCTTGGCATTCAAGTGGAGGTTGGTTTTTGCTGAGGCAAGCACACGACCAAGGCACAAACCTTCTCTTTCCCAAATCACTGCCTGTGGCTGTGAGAATGACAATAGAAAACATCTAGTCCAGTGCCTTTTCTTGAATGTTCAGCTGGTGATTTGAATTGGGAACCTTTTTCCCCCTTCTTTTTTTCTTGTTTTTTAGTTTTATAATTTCTTGCTTCTGTAAGAAGAGAAAGTTAATAAGAGTGATCCATCTTCAGTCCATCACTTTGAACTGCAAAGGAAGATGTTTGGTGTCACTGGCAGACTGGACTCCCAAGCCTTGTGGCCTGGGACAGACTTCACCCTTTTGTGGTCAGACAGAACGCGCCCTGCCTAGAGGAGACCTGTATTTTTGATAAGTGCTCTGCATTCGAATCAGTCTCACTGAGACTGCATGACTAAGGTGAGTGGCTCAGATGTCACCTTTCTGAACAGCGCCTGTGCTGCCTCAGACCCAGAGGAGATGTCTGCTGTCATGGCAATCCCAGCACAAGGCCTCAACAAGGTCTCACCCTCGGAGTGCCAAAAGAGCAGGCCAGCAGTACCTCCCCAGCAGAGGTGGTTTGCTGTGGCTGGTTCCTCAGACAAACCTGCCTTTAGTTTCAAACCAGCTCTCTCAGCAGCCAAGCACAGAAACCTCACGTGGAGAGAACTGCAAATCTCCCTCACCAAGTGCCAAAAGGAGCAGTGGATTGAGAAGCCACAGCACCTACTCGATGCAATACTTTGGCCACAAAGTCTTTGGGGACTATTGCTTACCCATGGCCAGTCCCTCTGTAATGCATCTGAGGAGGTCACACACAAGCCCGTGTAAGTGCAGGGAGCAGAGCAGTCTCAAAGGATTCTGAAAGAATCTTCTTTCCGACATTGTTTGCCAATCTCCTAATACAGACCTCAGGAAGGAAAATTACAGTCTTTCAGGAGAAAGCTACAAACTCAGTGATACCACAACTGCGAACTTCTCTCCCCTGTTCTGTAAACAAGTAAGTATATGTTAAAACAGATCGAAGTCTGCTTGTAAATTCCAGTCACCGAGCAGCTGCTGCCTACGAAGAGTGGAGAAATATTACTGAATAACGTCTGCAGTGTTCCTCCCCAGGGACCTGGCGAGCTGCAGCCTCGATGGTGATTTATCCCCACATGAATTTCAGAGCTCCATCTGAACGACCTGGCTTGTCAGTGTTCCTACTGAAGCTGCCTGCCAGCATCAAGATCTCACACACACATACAAGATATCCCCAGGATTCTTATTTATTTCATTATTAGGGTATATCCATTCCCAGTCTCTCTTCCTGGCTTTATCAAGACACTCTGAAGCTACATGAAATTAAAAACCAATCCCCAGATGGAGCTCACAGAGCACAGCCTAATGTAATCAGCCTTTCATTGTGCATCCCCCCTCATAGAACAGAGAGGCTGAAATAATTTACCTGCTACAGACAAAGCTGCTAGTTTAGATGCCAGGTTCGGAGAGCAGCGTAATTGCCATTGGACTTACACAGCAAGGAGTCCTCATTCTTGACAAGTCTAAGGGGCTCTGAGACAGTGAGGGAGAAATCCACTGAAGTGTTGACAGGCTGTTAACTCACCCACTGGTGACTGTGGCTGGCTGAGATGCTGCAGTCTCATAATCCATACCTGCTTGTCAGGCCGCAGCTCTTGCTAACTTTGCACTGCTAGAAAAAGAAGGAATGTGTATTGCCATTCCCATCTTCACCCTTTTGCACAGGAAGCCACAAGGCGTGTGGCACATGTGTGACTCCAGCAGATGCTGGTAACGTACAGATACATACATTTTGATAGGCACTGAATTCACAGTCTGCAGCGGGAGCCACATTAACTACAGCCCTGTGAAGAACAACAGTTGCCATGAGGTATGTTCCTGTTCTTCTGTCTCTTGGACAACTGGAAGGCTTTTGTTTGTGTGCTAAACTGCTCCCACATGTGCTGAAACACAAGGGATTATTTTTGACCCCCAAGTCCTTTCACCATCATAAAATAAGGCTGGACAGTGAGAAAACAAAAACAAAACAAAAAAAAAAAAAAAATCCCCCAATGGTCTGAATAAAAGTCAGCAGCACCACCACCCCCCTTCACGCATATTTTTTGCTAAACATCATTTTCAAACAGTTGTAGCTTTGCTCAGGAAATTCATGCTTGGGCAAGTTACAAGTTAAAACTCACCTCCCTCTTACCAGATTTCCACAATGTTTTTACTTGTGGCAGCTGGCCACAGCCTGGCTGATTCTGAGTAACTAAGCCTCTGGAGAGCCGTATTTTGTGAACTAGCAGCACGTGCTTGGCATGCCCACATTTGTTCAGTAAGAAAAATGTAGGTGGACAGCCAGGATTGTTTCCATATCTGTCTGAAATAATTGAACTGTAAGTTGCAAATGTAAATTGCAGATTTAATCCTTTTTTTTATTAGTCTCATTTCAAATGTCAGTGATATTTACATAATAGGATGGAAACAGAAGACAGTGAGGGGATGGGTAAGCAATGAATGATTTATTAGAGATTCCATTTGGTGTACTAGACCAAAACAAATGAGGCAGAGCATATGGCTAACTTACTTTCTGTTTGTATGTAATAAAAGATGCACGCTAATACCTCCCAGCCTGATTCTTAATCACGTATATTTGCTTTTCAATCTAGTTTTAAAATGGAACGTCTATAAAGCAATCTCTAAAGAGCTTATGATGAGAATCTGGCAGGAAAGATCCTTCAGATACCTGCTTATGCTGCGTGAGCAGGGAACCAACCAAGCACTGCGAATTAGCCTGTGATGTAGAGGTTGTAGATAATTCTCCATTGAAATTGCTCAAAATGTCTAGCTCCTTTGCCTCATTCCTCTGTTGCGTTTCCCCCAGCACTTTGTCTCCATGAAAAATTCCTGCTGGTCTCCGCAAATGCTTTGCTCATTGAAGTGCAGGATAAGGCTTCCTGTCCCTTCTGACGGAAGGTTCAAAGGACAGAAATTATCACAAGAATCCCCTGGGGGACTTGCCTTCACACTCCTCCTTCTGCAAAGCAGGCCATGCTCCCTCCTCCCCAGTCACCTCAGCAGGGCTCAGGGCCAGCCAAAAGCCCATCTGCCCCTTCTCCAGGGCCCTGAGGCTCAGTGGGGGCCCAAAGCCACGGGGGTTGAGTGCCCTTCTGATGCAGCAGCTGCCAGCCCTTCTCCCTGGCTGTGGCTTTCCTAGCACTCCAAGAAAGAGCAAACATCTCCATTCATCTCACTGTTTTCTCTCCTGGCCCCAGCAATACGTACACCCTCCCACCTTGCTCCCCTGCTACAGGGGCCCATGAGTACTGCTCCCCCCCCCACCCCCAGTTTCTGAGAGCACCCTATACTGATGGTCTAGGCTGTACAATGAGATGTTACTATGGAAACATTTACGTCCTTCCTGTCTTTTGTGTACTTAATAACATAGCATGTTTATCTCCTGTACACTTGCTGGTGGAAGAAGAAAACCTCTTTTCCTTTGCAGTGTTAACTTTAAAAAAAAAAAAAACAAAACCAAAACCAAAAAAAACCCCACAAAAGTCTATATATTGACCTTCTATCTTCATGAAAGAAGGGGGTGAATGGAAGAATATTAGTTTTCCACCTCCTGGTGCTGCTGTTTGGCTGGAGGTGGCTTTCTGCAGTGCTGTGTTTATCAGGACAGTTCATCACTTGCCAGCAAGGTCACTTTGGCCTCTATCCTGCAGTGAGCTCTGCACGAGCAGCTCCTTTCGCTGTGGCTGGCCCCTCGTTTCTGGGTTGGGATGGATCTTACTTATGACAGGAGCTCTGTTTGCTGAGGTACGGTACCCAGGGCATGCAAGTAACATCCACGGTACCAAAGCTGTTAACGTGTCAGCAGGAGTTCACTGACCATGCACACAAATTAATCTTCATTCAGAAGCCACCTTTTTGTGTTGTAAATTCCATTTTCTTCAGAGCTGCCAGACTTCTCTCCTCATTCTCTGAGCCACAAATATTTTCTGTAATACTGGAAAGGAAAGCTTTTTACACACTTTTGATTAGTGGGTAGCTAGTAGTTCTCTCTTAGAAAATACTTGTATTTATTTTTGTACAGAAATTCCCAAGGAATTGTTACTTGAGTTTGAAGAAGTGTCTTCTACTTTGGTCAGAAACTCTAGCCACAAAGGAGAAACCTCTGACATAATATGTACAAATGCAGAGAGAAGTCTTATAAATGAATTTGGGATGTAGCTCATGATGTTATGTAACAACAGTAATTTGGCAGTCCTTTAGGAAACAGGGAAAAATATGCTGTTCACTAAATGGCTAGCTTCTGGTTACTTGATTTCATTTTTTGGATAGGGGATTGTTAAAAAATTTCTGTCTGGAGGTCCAAATGCAGACAAATTGCCACATAAGGTTACACACAAAATGGAAACCAGTCAGCTAGGAAAGAGGCAGATCTGAGTTAAGCTCCTCATTGCATATTTCATTTTTGCTTGCGTGATTCTTGCTCACACATACCCAGAGTCCTTTCAGAGAAATCTATAATTACCTTTTCAAGATGAAGGATTGGGTGTGTATAGCATTTCTGTTTATTTGGCCACGATTACAGCTGTACAATCACCCTTTTCTTTTCACTTAAAGGAGCCGCAAGCAGGCACAGCAGGGGATGTGAGAGCCCTTAGCCAGTGAGGACATGGAGATGCTGTCCACCCATTCACCCAGCCAATCACTCACTTGGCTTCTTTAAAAGCTGCTGCATCCTCTAAATTTTCCTTTGAAGCAAGATCTGCCTGCTCTGTGGTGTATTTATCAGAACAGTCATCTTAGATCGCTCAATTGCTACTGTGGTGCTTTTCTGGCATTGGAGGACATTTTTCTCTGCCTCCTCCATTTTAATGAGTCATTCCAAAATCTGCGCTTGCTTCCAGACAAAAAAACAAAACAAAACAAAACAACAAACCAAAACAAAACCCCCCAGCAATCCAATACAGAGGAAAAATTGCCTTTTTAAATTCAGCAGTTAGTGTTCAGTTTACAGATGTCGAGTGTCATGCTCTGCTTTGTAGTGATGATGGTAACATCAGACTCCTAAAAGTAGAAGCTGGGTCACGCCTGTCCTCATAAATTGTCAGTCAAGCTGTTTAATAAGTTCCAGGCAGTTACACCTAAGCAAACTCAGTGAAGGTCGTGGCTTTACACAAATACTACTGAGTCCCTAACTGGAAAATAGTGGAGCCTTTTGCAGAAGTAGCCGAGAGCAACCTGACCTGCAGGATGATGATGTTTGAACAAGCAAGGACCCACTGCAGCTCTCAGATCTGATGGCATGCTGTGAGGTTGGCAACGTGGAAAAGCAACAGTTTGAAGCTGGATACCTCCGACACAGTGAGGAAGCACACAGGTACGGATCCTCCCAGCTCACCAGTGCTGGCTGATGCTTGTATGACCTGAGCGAAATGATGAAGGGACTAAAACCATCAGAAAACCGTTGACCCCTATGAGTTTCCTGCTGGGTTAGCTGGCTGAGCTGTCTCACTGAGGGCTGGAGCCCCTGATGGAACTGCATAACCAGGAATAGGGTGGGCGAAGATGGCTGCCTTCTTTCCTAGCAGCGAGTTGATTTAGATCAGATAAAACATGTGAAACTGCACTTTAAAAACTTTCCAAGGTGACACTGCCCTTTACAGCTGTGAGGCTATGTAGGCCATCCATTAATGCTCACATCAGTCTGAGTAATGTCTGCAGAGAACAGAGAAGCAACTGTGTCAGCGTGAAACTGCGCGTGAGGAGAGTAAGTTGTCATTCCTCAGCTGGGGAACAACCACCTTCATTTTCAGCTCTTGCATGGCACTAATTAGACTCATGCTCTCAGCTGCTCAGCAGTGAAGCTCTGCACGAACCACTCAGGGTCAGTACTCTGCCACGGCTGAGGTCGGAGGTGCAGGTGCCCTCATGCACACAAAAACAAAGCCCGTGCCCCAAAGCAGCCATAATCTGAGCTCTGCATGTGGGGGGCAGGCAAGGCGGGAACGCGACGCTGCCCAGGGGCTGACACGTTATCTGAGAATGCAGGAGGCCATGGCGGCCCGCCACCACAGCGCTCCAGGGGAGCCGTGCCAGTGCCTCGCCCTGAGCAGCAGCCGCCAGCGCCGGCCTGACCTCAGCCGGGACTTCGCGTAGAGAACAGAAGGGGACGTTGGAAATTAAAGGGGAGAGCCGTCCGCTGCTTCGAGAGAAACAGGGCAGCGAAGGAGCAGGGTTGCGACGAAAGGCGCAGCTCCCACTCCCGCCCCCCCACCCCCCCCGGCCGCCATTTCCCCAGCCCAGGTGCTCCTTCTCCACACCCCTCCCCCCCCCCCCCCCCATCATCTGGCCTCCTTCGGGCCCTGGCCAATGACAGCTCACAGTGCACGTGAACAACTCGCCGCTAAGCCAATGAGCGCCCTCCTTCCCACGTGGCCACCTGCGTGACGACTCCCGGCTTTGTTGGCGGTTAAGCTCTTCTTCTTCCCCCCCCCCCCCCCCCCCCCCGAAGGAGCGGGGGGTGCGTTCGTCCTCAGCTGCTCCGATCACGTGACGCAGCTTCGCCCGGCGCGGAGGCAGCCGGCGCGGAGGCGCACCACATAGTCCTGCCTTCCTCCCCCTTGCTCGCCGCGGAGCGGTAGGCTTTTTCCATCGGTTCCCGCGCTGAACACCGCAGAAGGACGGAAGGAGAGGCGCGCCGAAAGATGGGCTGCAGGTCGGCGGGCGCTGGGGAGAGGCAGGTGAATGTTGGCGGAAGGACACCTCACAGCCGGATCTTGTTTCGCCGCGCCCAGTCCTATATAAAGGCGGCGCGCGGGCGCCGCCGCCTCATTGTGTGTCCGTCCCTGAGCGTTGCTGTTTTTCTGCGTGTGTGTCTGTGCTCTCAGCACCTTCCCGCGCGGAGCGGATCGGAGCAGCCTCCCCTCCCCTGGCCGCCATGGCTATCTAAGGGCGGCAGGGCCAGCGGCGGCATCGGCCAGTGCAGCAGGCGCAGCAGCAGCGGCGGCGGCCTCAGCACATCCCCGGCATCTGCAACCATGGCGTGAGTATTGTGTCGGAGGGACGGGTATTCCCTCTCCTGTGTGTTCCTAGTCGTCCTCTTCCCTTCTCCAAGTGGGCTTCGGGGGCGGGTTTATCACCCGTATGGCAGTGGACGGTATGTCCCGGGCAAAAAGTACCTGGGTAATAAGATGGGGCAGAGGAAGGGGCATCCTTAGGGGGCTCAACCTCCCCGGGGCGGCGGGTGATAGAAATAGCAGGAAATGCCATTTCAGAAAAAATGGCGAGAAATTCCGGTTGCCCTCTGTCGTTCAAGGAAATTGGATTCCCCAAAGTTCGGAATTTTTCTATTTGATTAGGTTTTCCTGGGGGGGAAACTACATTCCTACGGAGGGTTTCTTTACCCCGGGGGTGGGTGGGGGGGAATGATTCTGTAGCTGGGTGGGACACTGGAGGCATCGGGCTTCTGAGAATGTAAGTACCATTTGGTATATCGTCCCGAGTAGATACACGGGGGCTGTTGATAAGCTGCCTGCAGTACTGTAATCCTTTAATACGGCAGCGTTAAATCTGCCCTGCTCACCTGGAGAGGGTTTCACAACCACCTGGAAACCCCGGTAAAAGGTGCCGTGTGTGACGCTCGGTTCGGTCTCACACCCAGACGCCCCGGTTTGTAAGTCCTCTCCTTTCGGAGAGGTCCGTTGTCCGTTCCCGCCTCGGCTGCTGATGACCGCACCGGCGCGGCTCAGCCCTCGGCGCCGCCCGGTGCTGGAGCCGCGGTGGAAACGTGGCAAGAGACAAAATGGCGGCGGCGGCCGCCGGGTGGGGGGAGGACGCGGCAGGATCACGAAATGGCTGCGGCAGCCGGGGGGGGGGGGGGGGGGGGCGGGGGGTGGAGGGGGGCGGGGCCGCCGCGGCCCTGCCCATATTTGGGCATGAGGAAGCCGGGCGGGCCTGGGTGGGGGGGTCGCGGCGGGACCCTGCGGCCGCCTCTGAGGGGCCTGGAGCCAGGGATCAAAAATCGCCGGGATGGTGCGTTGTTGCAGGCAGTCCCGAAAGCACACAAGTGGTACCAAGTCTTGCAGAGTACCGCCATGCTTCCTGAGGTGGCGTGGCTTTTAAAAAGCTGCTATGCCGGTCGAGCAAGTACTGATGAATTAAAGTTTTATTCGCAGGTTTTTCAAGGCACTGCACAGCAGCATTGCTGTAGTCGACAAAAAGGCCCTCTACTTGTCTACATCCTTCGACATCAAAGCATTAAAAACTGACGAAGATGAGCCTCTTGAACAACGAGATGCTGTTGGGGGAATCATTATCCCCCTTCAGCCAGCCGTGTTCGGTGGCTGAGGAAAGTCTGGGACTCCTAGATGACTACCTGGAGGTGGCCAAGCCCCTCAGTTCGCATGGGTTCTCCAGCGACAAGGCTAAGGCAGTCTCCTCCAATTGGCTTGCTGTGGACAGTTTAGGCAACACCATAGATAGCAGCCAGGGTAAGGTTTTACTTACTTGCATAAAGTCTGTCAATTCATGGCACATAATAAATTCAGTAGCATTCTGATAGAAAACCTAAATTGCTAGGTTTCCATAAATGTGAAGGCAACCTCACATGCATACCTCTGCTTGGAAAGCAGGTTTACTCCATTGCTTCTGTGTTAGAGAATTGCTGGTTACTTGACTGGCATATGGTAAAGTGACACTTCTGTCCTTTTAATAATATACTAGCTACTATGGTACTACTCCCTAGCAGAGGTCACAAGAAACAAGCATGGCTATGTTTCATATAGCCCTGAATTCTTCTGATGCTGGGAGTAAGAATGATGGAATGTCTGAACAGCCGACAGCTTACACAGTACCCTGCAGTCTTATGCAGCTAAATGACAGGGGATTTCTGTCTGATGGTTGATGCTTTTCATACCAATACGAGATAGGGAAGACATTAAAAAATCACGTTCTAGATTGTTTTCAGAAGTTTGAGTTGCATTGGCTGCTGTTTTACTGAAATGGTGATTTTCTTACTGTGTAGAGGATGCCTTCTCTGGCATGGAGTGGATGGTGGAGAAGATGGATCTGAAGGAATTTGATTTCGATGCCCTGTTAGGTATGGAACATCTGGAAGCCACCGTCTCACCAGACGAGCTGATGGCCACGTTGGAAGACACGTGTGATCTCCTATTTAACCCTACCATCCAAGAATTTCACAACAAAGAACCTCCACTGATAACTGACCTAATCACCCATCTCCCTGAATCTCCAATTGGAGCAGATCCAATGGCCCCATTGGCTTCCCTTTGGTCTTTTCCCCTCTCCCCAGGGTCTCTGACTTCCACTCCAGACCATTCGTTTAGTTTAGAACTAGGTAGTGAAGTGGATGTTCTGGAAGGAGAAAGAAAGCAGGAGGGCCCCACCTTTGTGGTAGTGATCACCAAGTCCGAGAAAGAGGAGGAGAACCATTCTGATGATAGTGGGATCTGCATGAGCCCAGACTCCTACCTGGGAACACCCCAACATAGCCCTACCAATTCAGTCGGATCCCCCAATGACACCCAGTTCCCTACAGATGCCAACTGTGGCTCCGTGCGGTCTAAACCGTACGATCATCCTGCAGAGAAGGCAGTGTCAGCAAAGATGAAAGGGGAAAAGAAAATAGATAAGAAATTGAAAAAGATGGAACAGAATAAGACAGCTGCCACGCGTTACCGGCAGAAGAAGAGGGCAGAACAGGAGGCATTGTCTGGGGAGTGCAGAGAGTTGGAGCAGAAGAACCAGGCCCTGAAGGAGAAAGCAGATTCCCTTAGTAAGGAAATTCAGTACTTAAAAGATCTGATTGAAGAGGTCCGCAAGGCCAAGGGCAAAAGAGCTAGAGTCCCCGAGTAGGGTAGTCAGCAGTTCTACGTGCATGTATATAAGCTTGCTGCTAAAGCTGTGTATTGCTAATAAATTATTTTATAGTAAACTCGCAATTCTGGTGTGAAATAACTGGGTATCTCCAAAACAAGCGTAACCAGGGTGTAAACACAAACGCTGAGGTGTTGGGTGTGCCTGTGTGACCTGACTTGTCAGAAGAAGTGACAACGTAGCACCCTTGGGTGCTGGTGGTTCTGCCGGGCAGTGGGTGCAGTGCATGAAGCGCTTCTGAGCAGCTTGTCTCATGCACTACAGCTTGGATGTATGGAGTAATGGTATAGTGAAGGGAGGGGGGTCATGCTGGGGGGGGCCCTGTGAGCATAATTCCATTGAAAACTGCAGAGTCTAGAGAAGACGGTGGAAAATGAGTAAAAGACTGGTGGGAGGGGGGTGGTGGTCGGATTTGGCAGAGCTGACCATTCGGAAGGAGGTGGATGGTCAAGGGTACGAAACATGAAAACAAATCAGTTGTGAGCATAAATTCAATAAATAAGCAGCTTAGTGGGAGGCGAGGCCAGAGCAAGTAAGGGCAGCATTGAACCACTGGTTTTGGTTTCTTGCCCCCATGTGTCTAGCAGGAGCAGGTGTGTTTCCTGGCCAAGCCGGTGGGGTTTGGGGAAGGGGCTGCCCTCACGCTGCCGTACGTGAGCTGGGTTACTCGGAGCTCTTACTGAGGGAAGACATTGGTGTAATAAAGCGAGAAAAGTCTTGGAGGCTTCTTCACGCAGCCACTGGAGAGTCAAAGGTGTAAAGATAAATTGGACTTTTTTTTTTTTTCAGCCAAGGGAACAGAGGAGTTGTTCCACAAAGCTTGTTGAGCTCTACTCCCGAGGCAGCGGGTGTGGAGAAGGTGCCGGTGTGCAGGAGCACCGCCGGGGGTGCGGGTAGGGGTTGTTGACAGCGAGCTGCAGGCTGACTCCTGGGGTTTGCGTGGTCGCAGTGGGGCCGCGGGAGGCGAGAGCGCTGTGGGGCTGGAGCATGGCAACTGAAAACATGCAATGGGTAAAAAAAAAACCTGCTACCCTGGAGTGAGGGTGTCTTTGTCTACTATGTGCTGCAGAGAACTTGAACGCAAGACGGGAAGGAGCCTGTGTAGTAGGGTGGTTACTGCCTGTAGATTAATTAGTGCCCTTCTGTTTGTGGGTAAATTTATAGTCGAGCCACTCAATGCAAGGAAATTTTTTTTTCTGGGGTTGATCCTAGTTCTGTGAGGTTCTGCGCATCAGCGAAGTCCAACCACAACCAGCGTGGCCGTACCCTGCTGATAGAAGCGTCAGGATTTGGGGCGTGCAATTTTTAATAATTTTGTGAGGAGAGTGGGGGTGCTTTTTTTTTGCTTTTTTTTTTTTTTATTTGTGGCCACTGATACCCAGATTTAGCAGCACCTAATCTCTGCTTGGCCTGCTGGACCCAGCGTTGGTGTGTGTGGACACGCACATCCTTCCCTGAGGAGTTGATTCCTTCTCACTTGCGCCGACGTGACCCCGTCAGCCGCCCAGCACCGGCACCTCCGCGTCCCAGCCTGGCTGGCGCACGCACCCAGTGCGGTGCCTTCAGGACCGGCCTTAGCCAGGCTGGGCTCCAGCCAGCGCTGCAGTGGGGAGGCAAAAGGTCCCTAAAGCGATCAGAAAGTCATTTCTCCACTTGCAGCCTGGGGGGGGGGGGGTCCTTTTTATCTCACCCTTAAGCTCCTTACGTCCTCAAGTCAGGGCCGCGGTCCCCCAGCTGTATGCATTGCCCGAGCCTTTAGCCGTCGTGCACCCGTGGGCTCTGGGGCTGCTGCGTGAAGGCTCCT